CCAGGCGAGTCCGGCTGGACCTGGACGACTTCTGCCCCTACACAGGCGAAGACCCGGACGGCAACCTCAAGCGGCCGACAGAGCTGGAATTGGATGAACTCTTTCAGGAGAAAGGGAAAAGGAACTCCTGGTCAGAGGGAGAGAAGATGTACTCAGGACGACCAAGAAACATGATGATGCCTGTCATCAAGAATTTGGAGATCTATGAAAAGATGATGGAATTTCTGGTCTGCGCCGGGTACACTCCCGAATCATTGGGTTTCCTCATGCCAATGAACCGAATGCAGGCCGATGCCCAAGGGAAAGAGGAGATGCGAGTAACCATCAGCAACTTCCTTCGACGACTGCTCAAAGGAACCTTTCCGGAGCACGAGTCATACACCTTCTTTCGCTCCGGGAGCCACGGCTTCCCTAACTGCATCGAACTCCCAGCCTTCTCGGTATATCTGAGCCTGAGGGAGAAAGAACAGAGAGTAGAACTGCTCTTTGCCGCCCAACAATGTGGCATTCCTTTACCTCAAAACTTTGTCAGCAAGATGGCTTATGCTATTCAGCTGGCCGAGGCCGAGGCGCAGAGGGGGAAGACCGAGATGAAAACGAAGATGGCTCCAACCCTTGGCGACGAAGTGGTGAGTGAAGTATTCAAAGCGGTTGGACATACGGCAGCTTCCAAGTTTGCTAAACCACCCGCACAACCTTCACAGACACCTGAAGGCACTGGTTCAGCATCATCCTCATCGGCTAGCGCACCAAAGGGCAAGGCTATGCCGAAATCCCATGAACCATCAAAGGCACCGCCTGCAAAGCCTTCATCGCCGAAAGCTGCTCCGAAACGTGCGGCAGGATGGGAGAGAACTCCAACAGCACCTCAATGGAAGAAAGTCCGCCGTGAGCAGTGAACTTATTACCTCTGTCCATCAAAATGGTCACTGGACTACAAGATGTGTATCGTCTTTGTAAACAGATGATCAGGAAAAGACCAACTGAGTGGACTCTGAGCGAGGCAGTAGACTAATTCGCTTAGGTTCAAGACCTTTTTGATATTCCCAATCTGCACGAAAATTCTGCAATGTGCACGTGAATTCGTTAGTTAGCATCGTAAATCTTTGGTAGCGAAGTGACCCATTTCTCCCGACGGGTGAGTGGCAAGCTTAGCCAACGTAGAAAAGTAGATGTTAGCTAGCAATAATTCGCGTTGTACAGCTTGATGAAGCGCCGATGCATCAACAGCCATAGAGTAGGCAAACCCTGAACCATTATTCCCTTCGGGTATGTGGGGAAGGGGGAGCCGAATGGCTTGTTTTATGTACATAGGCGTAATTCAAGTAGCAGAACCAATCTAATTCAAAGTTCCCTCTCTCGTGTCCGTGGTTCGAAGAATACCACGGGCATGGGGGGTGTCAAAGGGAACTGAACACTAGGACGCTTGTGATGTACATACTTAATTGTATATCTGGACGCCGTACTGGCTCAAGTCCGTGTGCGAGGAAAAGGGTCCGAGCTGCGCTTGCCATGTACCATCAGTGTCCGGCATTACCAGCATAACAGGTATCGCAATTGATAACTACATCCAGAACAAGGATTCATTTGTTCACAATATATATATATACATATTAACATACTGTATATAGACCAACATATATAGATTAACATATCAATTAACCTGTATAGATTCACATATACAGACTAACATATATCAATGAACATATATCAATGAACATATATAGATTAACATATATAGATTAACATATATAGCTTCACACATATGAATTCACATATAGAGTACCAGATATAGATTAAACAGATATAGATTAACATATATCAATTAACATATATAGATTAAACATATCTAGATTAATATATATCAACTAATATATATGTATCGATTAACCTATATAGATTAACATATCTCAATTAACATATAAAGATCAACATATATAGATTATTATATATAGATTATTATATATAAATTAGCAGATATAGTTCAACTTGTATAGATTAACATATATAGATTAACATATACAGATTAACATATAAAGATTAAGATATATCAATTAACATATATAGATTAAGATATATCAATTAACATATATAGATTAACATATATAGATTATCATATGTAGATTAACATATATAGAATATCATATATCAATTAACATATATAGATTAACATATATGGATTAACATATATAGATTAAACCTATATAGATTAACATATGTAGATTAACATATATAGATTAAACCTATATAGATTAACATATATGGATTAACATATGTAGATTAACATATATAGATTAAACCTATATAGATTAACATATATGGATTAACATATGTAGATTAACATGTATAGATTAAACCTATATAGATTAACATATATAGATTAAACCTATATAGATTAACATATATGGATTAACATATGTAGATTAACATATATAGATTAAACCTATATAGATTAACATATGTAGATTAACATATATAGATTAAACCTATATAGATTAACATATATGGATTAACATATGTAGATTAACATATATAGATTAAACCTATATAGATTAACATATATGGATTAACATATGTAGATTAACATATATAGATTAAACCTATATAGATTAACATATGTAGATTAACATATATAGATTAAACCTATATAGATTAACATATATGGATTAACATATGTAGATTAACATACGTAGATTAACATATATGGATTAACATATGTAGATTAACATATATAGATTAAACCTATATAGATTAACATATATGGATTAACATATGTAGATTAACATACGTAGATTAACATATATGGATTAACATATGTAGATTAACATATATAGATTAAACCTATATAGATTAACATATATGGATTAACATATGTAGATTAACATATATAGATTAAACCTATATAGATTAACCTATATAGATTAAACCTATATAGATTAACATATATAGATTAAACCTATATAGATTAACATATATGGATTAACATATGTAGATTAACATATATAGATTACACCTATATAGATTAACATATATGGATTAACATATGTAGATTAACATGTATAGATTAAACCTATATAGATTAACATATATAGATTAAACCTATATAGATTAACATATATGGATTAACATATGTAGATTAACATATATAGATTAAACCTATATAGATTAACATATGTAGATTAACCTATATAGATTAAACCTATATAGATTAACATATATGGATTAACATATGTAGATTAACATATATAGATTAAACTTATATAGATTAACATATATGGATTAACATATGTAGATTAACATATATAGATTAAACCTATATAGATTAACATATATGGATTAACATATGTAGATTAACATGTATAGATTAAACCTATATAGATTAACATATATAGATTAAACCTATATAGATTAACATATATGGATTAACATATGTAGATTAAACCTATATAGATTAACATATATGGATTAACATATGTAGATTAACATATGTAGATTAACATATATAGATTAAACCTATATAGATTAACATATATGGATTAACATATGTAGATTAAACCTATATAGATTAACATATATGGATTAACATATGTAGATTAACATATGTAGATTAACATATATAGATTAAACCTATATAGATTAACATATGTAGATTAACATATATAGATTAAGCCTATATAGATTAACATATGGATTAACATATATAGATTAAACCTATATAGATAAACATATGTAGATTAACATATATAGATTAAACCTATATAGATTAACATATATGGATTAACATATGTAGATTAACATATATAGATTAAACCTATATAGATTAACATATATGGATTAACATATATAGATTAAACCTATATAGATTAACATATGTAGATTAACATATATAGATTAAACCTATATAGATTAACATATGTAGATTAACATATATAGATTAAACCTATATAGATTAACATATATGGATTAACATATGTAGATTAACATATATAGATTAAACCTATATAGATTAACATATGTAGATTAACATATATAGATTAAACCTATATAGATTAACATATATGGATTAACATATGTAGATTAACATATATAGATTAAACCTATATAGATTAACATATATGGATTAACATATGAGATTAACATATATAGATTAAACCTATATAGATTAACATATATGGATTAACATATGTAGATTAACATATATAGATTAAACCTATATAGATTAACATATATGGATTAACATATGTAGATTAACATATATAGATTAAACCTATATAGATTAACCTATATAGATTAAACCTATATAGATTAACATATATAGATTAAACCTATATAGATTAACATATATGGATTAACATATGTAGATTAACATATATAGATTACACCTATATAGATTAACATATATGGATTAACATATGTAGATTAACATGTATAGATTAAACCTATATAGATTAACATATATAGATTAAACCTATATAGATTAACATATATGGATTAACATATGTAGATTAAACCTATATAGATTAACATATATGGATTAACATATGTAGATTAACATATGTAGATTAACATATATAGATTAAACCTATATAGATTAACATATGTAGATTAACATATATAGATTAAGCCTATATAGATTAACATATGGATTAACATATATAGATTAAACCTATATAGATAAACATATGTAGATTAACATATATAGATTAAACCTATATAGATTAACATATATGGATTAACATATGTAGATTAACATATATAGATTAAACCTATATAGATTAACATATATGGATTAACATATGTAGATTAACATGTATAGATTAAACCTATATAGATTAACATATATAGATTAAACCTATATAGATTAACATATATGGATTAACATATGTAGATTAACATATATAGATTAAACCTATATAGATTAACATATATGGATTAACATATGTAGATTAACATATGATTTACATTCAACTTCTTGGGGATGAATATCCATTTACCCCTGCAGGGCGACACCTTGGGCACCGGCGCGCAGCCCGCGGAGTCCAGGCCCGTTCTGATATGTCAATAGCCGACATAGCTGACATAGCCTCTGGTAAACTAACAGTTTGCTATTGAAAATGGCCATTTATAGTGGATTTTCCCATTAAAATGGTGATTTTCCCATAAAAAATGGTGATTTTCCATAGTTATGTTAGTTTACCGGAGGGTAAACCGACGAACTAAATGTGCCATTTACAATGGTTATGTTACAAATTACCAGAGGGTATTAGTCTTGCTGATATCAATGGGGATATATATATACATACATATATATATATACATATACATATATACATATGTATGTGTGGGATTTATGACGGACCTAATGTTTTTTCGGGGGGATTATGACAAACCATATGAATGGGAAACCGTTCTCAACAGACTAGTATATAACAGTATATATAATGAGATTGGAAAACGGGGGTATTTTTGATGGCTCAAATGGTTAAATCATCAAGGATCATCAATGGAACATCCACCAATTATAGAGGATTTCACCATTTAGTGGCATTGATAAGATGGGGATACCCCAAATCATCCAAGTCATGAATGACCATTGTTTAGTAGTGAAACCGATGATGATGTGGGGATCCCCCATTACCCTCCGGTGTCATCAAACGTGGCTGGAAAATCTACCATTTGGATGATTTTCCCAGGCAGAAACCTGTATTTCTCCAGGATTTCCTATTTGCGAATTAGTATCCATTCAGGTATGTGGTTACTTCAAGAATCATCAAGGTAAATCCACTATAATTCGTATTACCAAACATGAGTTCATCCTGCCTCCGTGCCAAAGAAATATCTGACTGGCTGTTTTGGGGGGATGCCTGATATTCAGCTGAGACTGTTTGAGGGGTCCCCATGTCCCGGTAGTGAACGTGTGTGCGTTTTGAGTTTTCTTGTAGCATCCAGGTGCACTCTAACTTTTGGGGTTGCGGCAATGCATGCTGCGTCTAGGAGGTGTTTTGCAATAACATAAGTCTTGTATGTTCAGAGGGCCCTGCAAGGAGAGAGTAGCGTGATGCAGGCTTATGATCATAGTGAGGGGGTGATTTGTTGCAGTGCAGATGTACAAAAATGATCGAACCGATCAACAGTTCTTGCTGTGCATGGTTTGATTGTTGGTTGACCCCCCTACTTGGCTAGTTCTTGGTTACCATTAGAGACCACCCGGCTGGTGATTTCTGTGTGAACCTGGGTGGAAGATCACAATGTCATCAATCCATTTTCATAGTGATTTATATAGCCACTATGTTTGGATTCCCATTCTGGGATGGATAACCCAAAAATTGACTGTTTGTTTTCTCGCAGAGGATCCAAGGTTAGCCAATGATGAGGGTTTGGAACACAGTTTGCAGCTTGTCATATTTAACAGCCTTCGGCATTCCTCCGGCCCTCTGGGCTTTGGCCGACAGGCCAAAGCCGGGGTTGTGTAAAGCTGGTTGGTGTAAAAGGTTGGTTTGATGATGATGATCAGGATAATGTTGCTGATGAGGCGGAGGAGGATGATGACGACCATCGAGACGAGGATGATGTGATGATGTAAATACGGCGAGGGCTAGTTCGCTTGAGAAAGAGACGGGGGAGGGAGGGGGAGGGGGAGGGGGCAGCCAAGCGGAAAATCCATCGAAGAGGAACATTAGCCGAAGGATTCAAAAAAGCTCCCTGAATCTGAAACAATGAACAGTAATCTCAACTGTTCCACGTGCATGATATGAGGCGAAAAAAGAATCTTTCTCAGTTTTCCAATTCTTTTGACCATCCCTGGTCAAGATTTCAACAGCGTTCCAAAATCTTACCCGAGATAATGGTACGGGTCCAACCATGATCTTAAATGATCTCGCAAAATGGGTCATTGCCATTCATAGGTTCCCAACCAAGACTCGTTGTAGTCCTCGTTGCTTCATTTTCTTGGATTCATAGAATTGGATGGGACAATTTACAGGAAAACCCTATATTTGATGGTAAAAACCATGGTTTCCGGTTCAGATTTTCCCGATTTTCCCCAACAAACCAATCCATTGATGGATGGGAACCACCAGAGGGGGACCACAAAAAAGTGACCACCAGCAGGTTCTACGAGCTCTTGCAGCATGAGATGGGCAAAGTGAATCGCTTCTTCCAGCTACAGCTGCGAACGTTGCTGGACGCCGGGACGCGAACGTTGATGGAAGGGACGGGTTTTAATGGTGATTTAATGGTGATTCACCAATAGAACTGGTTTATTTTGACACCGTCAAAGAATTCTGCATTCAAAGGCGGAAAGTCTGGGATTGCTCCCGGTGCCCCGCTGGACCAAGACCACCACTGCCCCAGAGGAATTCAGGTTCGGGTTTACCCCATGGATCCCCATTGAGCACAGGACAGGTCCGTCGCGGCCAGGACAAGTTCCGAGAGGCACAACGAGCCCTGCAGTCCATCCAAAAGGTTGGAGGTCAGCGGAGGGCGAGGCTGATCCCAGAGAACCAACAAGATGTCTTAAAATTGGTGGATTTTCATGGATTTTGGTGGATTTTGGTGGATTTTGGTGGATTTTCAACGATTCTCATGGATTTTTGTGGATGTTTATGGATTTTTGTGGATTTTCACCACAGTAGGAAATCCACTGGTTTCCTGCAGGAAAGCCTACTGCCAAGTAACAAATGGGTTGCTTTACAATATACCATCTGGTTATTTAACATAGCTATGGAAAAGCCATGACAAATGGAGGTTTTTGGGAAAATCATCGGTTTCTATGGGCCATGGCTTCCATAGCCATGTTAAATAGCCAGAGGGTATAGTTTTTGGCTTCCATCATCCAGCTGGTTCGATATCCCCAGCCTACATCCAACAGTTCGCCCAAAAAAACATGTTGGGTCAATCACCATTGAGATACACCACTTATACACCAACTATAAATCATCAATGGGATCATTATTTATGGATCCCAGTTATTTCACCAACTATAAATCCCAAGTTTTTGGTGAAATCCAAAGTAACTGCAGGTGCTGAGCCTTTGGCGCGCGCCAACAAATTGCTGGAAGAGGCAGTTGCCTGGCGTTTCTGAGGTTCTTGGCAGTTGGAATTAATGGAGAAATAGTGACTTAACTCTATGGAAACTGGTGACTTTGCCATGAAACATAGTGTTTGATGGGGATTTTAAGAATCAAGAATCTTGACTTGACCAACACTAGAATGGGTTGAAACAATGGGAATCTCATGTTTTTTCATAATGGTTGAACAGAACATATACGTAGATAGACTTGATATTTATGCGGGGTTGAGCGAGTATCCAGCGGCAAATGGAAGGAGCTGTTTGGAGCTATGGTTGTATCCACTCCCTTAAGAAAAAGGGGACCACGGAGCTATGAATAGAGTTCCCCAACCACCTGATAGATCTAAGCATTAGACATTTCGGTTTCTCTGATTAAAGATGGGGGTGTTACTTCAACCAACCACTTTAATAATTCAGTGGGAATAACTGTCGGTTTTCGTCTCAACATGGGAAATGCACAGGAAACCCATGAACTTAGCGAGGGTATTCCAATTTTCAGGCAACCCCATCTGGGTACAGCTCAGAATTCTTCAACCTTAGGACCTTGGTCTTTTTGTTGTATCCAATATACCATCCACTTTCGATTCAAGGGTTGACCACTTTGACACATACCAGGGTTTGTCTCAAAAGAGTGGGAGGTAGCCCCCCCAAAATGGCGGGGCCGTATCTGAATTCCCTGTGAACAGAATTAGTTCCTAGAGGTGATGGAATGGGCTTCCAATTTTTGAGATACCCCATCTGGATACTTTGCCCTTTGCCCAACAAGCCAGGAATTGGAACTTTAAAATCATTTCTGCATGTTTTTTTCTCCGAGAACCCTTTCAGGTGAGTTTGTGGAAGGGGATAGCGACCAAAAATGGCATACTTACTCAGCCCTACAAACGATGGTTTTCAATCAGAAATCTTTGGGTACGTAGCACCAGAAATCTTTGGGTACGTAGCATCCAATTTTGGGCTTTGGCTTTTCCTATTTTGCCCCATTGCTGTATTCTGGCTACCGGCTGTACGGTTTTGGAACCAGAGCCTGTCTTTTTTCAAGTTTGAAGATATCCAAAGATATCCAAAGATATCCAAAGTCCTAAGATGTCCTCCACACCCGACCCCAAAAAAAAGTGACACCTCAAGCCATCTTCCTAGGCAGATGGCTTGGTGGAGCTGGATAAGTTCAAATATCTGAACTTCACCGGCTTCAGGCCCTCTCCGGGGATAGTTCAGATTGCATCAGATTGCGAATGTGGTTCTTGTGTTGGAGGGAAACCTCAGGCATTGTTGGGGTTGTTGGGCTCTTGGTTTTGGTGCAGGAAGATTGCCAAGAAATTTGACAAATCGACGAAGAGCGGCGTGACCTTGTCCTCTTGGTCCCTGCGGTCGCATTGGAACATGCAGAATGGGAGCATCTTCTCAGCCTTGAGCCTTGAGTTCCGGAAAACTGCTGCGAACCTTCCAATATTTTAGTTCCATCATTAGATTCAACCACTGAGCAGTCTCCCCACAGTCACACGAAGCCTCGTTTTGGGCCTTTGGCAACCTCAGCAGTGGTTGATTGGGTTGGGTCGGCTCAGCCAATCATCATGGCAGAGATTAGGTAGTCCCTTGTGTTTTGGGACGGGATACCCAACTGCTCCACTTTCCAGTGCTGCCCCATGGAGCTGACAGGTTTATGCCGCAACTGAAGAGGGCCTTTTTTGCCGCCCATCGGTTGGATGGGCTTCTGCTCTCACTGTCCTTGGGCTACGCGGCAGTGCGCCGCTTTCAATCAGGCCCAGCGAAAGTGTGGCGACGCCCATGTCACCACTATGAAAGCAGTTGAAGTCATGGGAAACGTATTGCAGCTGTGCGGGCTGTGTCGACTATCTAAATCATGAATAATTATATCCCTCAATATCAAACACCTCCTAGATGGTCCGAAATATGTGTAAATTCCCTTCTAAACCATGGTTTCTAGGGGGTTACAAGGCACACTAAGTCGAAAAAAGGTAAACTCAACGGGCACGATCCTTTTTCGTCCACTTTTTCATTCTCCTGGCTTTTCAACCACAGCAACATCCATTGTCATCCATTGTTGAACATCAAAGAACATCCCAACATCAACCACATGGAGGTTTCCTAAGTCATGGTACCCCCATCCAAACCATAGACATTTTAAGCTGTGATTACACATTCTCACTGGGAAAATGCCATGGTTAAGTCACTCATCGTTCTGGGCCATGTTTGAGGATATTCCAAAAATCATCGACATTTCGGTCATGGGATTTTCCATGGGGATCTTCCATGGGATTTTTCAAAAATCGTCGACCTTTTCATAGGATTTCTCTGTGATTTTCCATCCAAAAAACCATCGGAAGGTCAGTGCAGCGAAGCGGTGCCTCTGACGATGCCTTCGAGGACCATGTCGCCTGGCTGGCAACGGAGGGAATGTCTATGCCATGGATCATGAAGGGGTTTTAGTAATGATTAACTATGGTTAATAGTGGTTAGTAGTGATTAAGTTAGTGTTTAATAATGGTTAATAGTGGTTAGTAGTGGTTAATAATGGTTAATCATGGTGAATGACACTTCATGGTGATTGTTGATGAATAATGATCATTGATGTTTGTGAAGCAAGAATAAACCACACAGTTTTTTTGATGGTTTATAGTTTATACCACCCATTTATGTCCATTTATGGCAAATTTTGGGATGGTTTACTAGTGCTTTACTCACATTACCATACATTACCCACATTAGGGGAGTCTCATCAACCCATCAATAGGCATGATCTATCTATACACTATATCTGGTTGTTGGTTTGGAGCATTTGATTTTTCCATATATTGGGAAAAATAATACCAACTGACGAATATTTTGCAGAGGGGTTGAAACCACCAACAATATATATATATATACATAATTATATAAGGATTTCCGTTGTAGGATGGATGACCATGAATAATGTTTTGAACGAGCAGCTATGGGGATCATCGGGGCCATGGGAAGGTCAATCAGCATTGATGTAACAAGATGTAACCAAAAAGTGGAGCTGAAACATAATGTAACAGAACAATATTTAACCCAATATGTAACAATATGTAACCCATAAGAATTGGGTCTTATCACCTGACAAAGATATACAAAGATGGGGACAGTTCAAAACGCCAGAGAGAGCACCAAAGCCGCAGATTGATCAGCACTTTTCATCCGATGGCGCGCAAATGAATGCCCAGGTTCGTGGATTGTGGCTACAGGCGGTTGGTTTCAAAAAACAAAAGCCACACATGCCAAACATCCTTTGATGCTGTTTGCTAGTTGTACTTGGTTCGCTCAATCACCAATATGACCGATGGGTTTTGTGACTTTGCACTTGCTGTAGGTTTGTTTCGCACACAGATTTTCGGACTTGGTTGCCGAGTCTGAGTCTGGTGCAATTTTTGTCTATTTGAACACACATGTATAATCATGTATATACATACACACACACACATGGAACTCCAGAAGTACCACTTTCAATAATAACATCACCTGCAGAAGCCAGTTGTGTTTAGGGTTTATGACGGTCCGATAATCAAAGATGGTTTGCTGGAAGATCCACCATTTGAGTTTCGATGGTATTTCCAGCGATAAGGGATGTTCCCATCTTTTCCTATGTTTTTCCCAGCGAAGGAAACCGGGTTTTTCCCATATTTTTCCTATGATTTTCTGATATTTTCCCATTGAGTCCGGAAAAAAATCCCAGCCGTGTTTGACGCCTCCGGCCTCCGCGCACTAAGGACCTTCTGCTTGGTGCCCCTGGGACGCATGCGTTCCCTGTGCCACTTGGGCTGTGAAACACCCCGGTGGGTGGGAAAGTATACTGTAGCTACTTGGGTTATTGGAAATTCTCATATTCTATAATTCTATAGTAGTTATTGTAAATTCTGATATTCTATAATTCTATAGTAGTTATGGGAAATTCTGATATTCTATAGTATGGAAACCGATCAACTTTCAGAAAGGGAACCAACAATTCCAGTCAAGGTCTGTGGGTGCGATGAACATCAATGTGCGCAGATGATCCCCTGACCGAATTCGGAATGGTTTTGACATGTCTTAACTTGGGACATGTCTCAAAACTTGGATTCAAAGCATCACTTTTATCGGTGATAGCATTCGTCCATGCACGGATTGCAATGCATAGTTTGATCCTCTGTGAATCATGGGGTCGAGATAGGGGCTACCAAGCCAGCGAGAACTTTGAACGAACCGCCATTTCTTGTGGATCAGTGACCTTGCACAGGGGTCTCCAAGTGTTTATAAAAGATTACATATATAGCATATACAATATGATGTAATATATATATATAACTATATATATATGATTATGATTCTGATTATATATACACAAAACTGGTAACATCATTGGCTATATATATATATAAATAATTACACGACATATACTTTTTTTTTACAAATCGATTCTTGCTGCGCTGACTTCCAAGTACCAAGGTACCTTGGTGAAGAGTTTTCAACTGGTGTTGCCCCCACTGCAGGGACATGCCTCGGAGGGCATGTCAGGCGGGGTAGGTGGATGGCTGCCCAATTTTCCCCAAAAAAGTGACCTTGGCAGGGAATCAGTTAAAATGATGGCTGCGGCTCAATGATTTTCACCGAAATTGGATAGTTTCAAGAGCGAAAACTAGAACATGACTAACATGACTAACATGACCAGCCAGAAGGGTCCCCCAAAATGCGACTGTCCATCTATCTACCTATCTACACTCATTTTTTTTTGGTGAAATCTCCCATCCGTAGCCGCTCCAGGTGAGGAGCTCAGTTCGGAACTCCAGAGACTTGGCGAAGTCCCCGCCGACCGCGAAAAGAAACATGCTATCAATCAGACATGTCTATAGAATATTATAGAATTTATACCACCATTAAATCTATGATTATCTACATATACTTAGATGATCATAGATGTGTTTTTTTGTACATCTATGTATAGGTATGCATGTAATAAATCTTGATATACGTACCTGGCTTTGAAGTCCATCGTTACGATGTCAAACGTTGCGTGGATTGAACATCCTTCGATCTACAGTGTACAGCGGAACCGTTAGATAAGAACCGATTAAGAAATTTCCAGCCTACCCTGGGGTTCGTAAGTGCTATACAGAAAATATGGGAATTATGAACGAGGGTACCCTCAAGTTCTTAATGGGTTAATAGTTCTTAAGGGGTTCATATGGGGGTTTTGCCAATTAATTTTGGCGTGGTATTAGGTTGCAAAGGAGGCGGGGGGAAGAAAAACACTTTTTAGGTCCCGAAAAGTTTTTTCAGGTGCAGGCATTCCAAACAGAGATATAGGCCAGATATTCCACCATGCCAGCCAGGGCTTGAAAGTTTATTTTGGTGTGGTATTAGGCTGCAAAGGAGGCGGGGGGAAGAAAAACACTTTTTAGGTCCCGAAAAGTTTTTTTCAGGCATTCCAAACAGAGCTATAGGCCAGATATTCCACTATGCCAGGGCTTGAAAGTTTATTTCGGCGTGGTATTAGGTTGCAAAGGAGGCGGGGGGAAGAAAAACACTTTTTAGGCCCCAAAGAGTTTTTACAGGTTTGGGCGCCCGAAACAAGGCAGCAAAGGCAAGACAAGCCAAGACAAGCCAAGGGCCGCCTCCGAGGTCAGATGACCTACAGTGAGTCTGGCTGGTGTCTAGCTGAAGCTGTAGACATCAGCCTTGGTGACTACGTGAGGGATTAAATCTTCCTGGGGCCGCACCATGTTTGTCCTCGGCATGGAAGTTCCGCGGTACATACTCTTTCTTTTGGGAAATAGCTGCTAATAATCAATGTTTGGTATATTGATACCCGTTAAAGGGGAATAAGAACCAGTGGCTAGATTCCAGGGTACCCTAGGGTTCTTGCTTCAATTAGTCGACAGAAAGGGTTGAATCCAGCAATCCAGCCGCTGAAGTTCTTATTGCAGTAGGTTCTTAAACAGTGGTTTCACTGTACCCTGATGCGTTGCCATGAGCCCCGTGCACTTAAAAAAGATACACACACACATATATATATATGATACTGTTCATCATTTTGGAACACATCACTCCATGTGCAATTTCAGCTGTGATCTTTGACTGCTTGCATGCAGCCGTTTTTCGTATCAAAAAGACGAGGTGCGTTAACGGGCGGTGTTGGTGAGGAGATCGGAATTTGAAGAGGGCACAAATCGAGAAGTGTAACCCCAGAGAGCAGCCTCTAACCTGCTCTCAACGAGACAGGTTATGAGCCCAAAGTGGCGCTAATGGATCTTCTTAGACATAGAAGGGCAACCCAAGAGGAGTTGAATGAAGGGATGAGACAAATGAGAGAAGCGCAAGATCGGTTTTCTAGGGAAAGAACTGAGGAAGCCATAGAAGATCAACAGAATCCAGCCAATCAAGGTCAGGAGATTTTTGAAGAACCACAAAGCCCAAAAAATGAGTCCCCTAGAGTAGAAGAGACTGCGATAGAGGATCAGAAAGTCCCCGCCGTTGAGGATGTTTCCAAAGAAGCTGTAGAAGAATCTCTAAAGGGTTCAGTTCAGAAATCCCCCAATCCTGCTGTTGCTCCGACCACTCCAGCTGTCCGAAGTGGAGCCAGTGGGAAAGGAAAGGGAAGTGAAAGCCAAGAAGTTCTGCAAACGCCTCAAGCTGTTCCAAATGGAGGAGCTGGGAATGAAGGTGACGCTCCGGCCGACAGGTCTGGCAGGGCAGATTTAGGACCTGCACTGACTAGGTCCCAGCCCAGGTCACAGCCCATGTTCACACCACTTTTCAGTGAGCAGCAATTGAGACAGTTTGAGGAGCTTCACAATAGGGCACCATGGATTTATGGAACAGATTTGGGAACATCTAGACCTAATTGGTTGGAGATGGAAGACAGAAGGCTGCTTGCTCTTCAGGAAGAGCGAGATCGCTTGCGTCTGGAGTCTGAGGCAATCAGGTTTCGCCAAGAAGAGGAGCGACAGAACCTTTTGCTAAGGCTCAAAGTTTTGGAGGAAGAGAATCGTTTGCTGAAGTCTGGGAACGACAGGAGTTCCATCTATGGCACTCCTGAGGGTTCAAGGAAAGATCGAAAGGAGGCTGCAGACCCCCGAAAGCCCGAAGCACCAAAGGAGGCTGCAGACCCCCGGAAGTTTGAAGCATCAAAGGAGGCTGTAGACCCCCGAAAGCCCGAAGCATTAAAGGAGGCTGCAGACCCCCGAAGGTTTGAAGCATTAAAGGAGGCTGCAGACCCCCGAAGGTTTGAAGCATCAAAGGAGGCTGTAGGCCCCCAAAGTTTTCATGAAGCCCAAAGGCCGCCAGATTCAAAGGAGGCTGAAGACCCCCAAAGGCAATGCGGAAGTTCAAAGTCTGCGGAGGACGCAGGAGAGCCAGAGATCAGAATGATGATGAAAGGCATGATGAAGCTCATGGAGGGCATGCAGGTGCTGCAATCTCAGATTGTGGACGCAAAGAAGTCAAAAGACATGGAGATCGTCAAGGGTGCAATTCCAGATTCGCCCCGTCTTTCAGAGTGGAAGGCTGAGACGGCGCCTTTGGATCTTACTGACTGGCTTTTGACAATTGAGCCAGCTATGGGAGATCTTTCTGACACCTCTCAACAATGGTGGGAACAGATGCTGCAATCCGCCCGAAGTTGGTACATTCAGCACCAAGAGAAGACCCCCTTGGAGAAGGTAAAGCATAAGCCGCAGGTTCCAGAAGACCTGCAACATCCCAGGTACCAAAGACTCGAGAAGAGAGTCACTGCTCTTCTCATGGCTGCCATACCGCAGTCTCAGCAGGAAGAAGTGGTTGCTTCGAAGGAGGTGACTGCCATCAACGTGTTGGCTCGGCTGATGACGTGCTATCAGCCTGGTGGCCTCAGCGAAAAAGGAGCCATTTTGTCGGCTCTGGACTCTCCAGAGGAAGCTGCTGGACTTTCCCAGGCAGTTACAGGCCTTCGTCGGTGGCTTCGTTGGCATCGACGAGCTGGCGAAATAGGAGTCGTTCGACCTGACTCCACAATTTTGGTGAAAGGTCTTGGCCGCTTGACAAAGAGGGTGTTGAGAGACAACCCAGATCTTGCATTTCGCATTCAACTGGCAAAGTCGTCGCTGCAGATCGACACAGCACCATGCGAAGATTCAGTGATGACGTTTGCACATCATTTGCTTGCGGAATTTGAACAGGTTGCACATCAAGATCGACGGAAGCGTGAAGATGCAAAGAATGCTCAAGAAGCAAAGGCATTTGAGGAGAATGGATCTGGAGGAAAAGGTGCAGAGGGCAAAGGAGGGAAGGGCGAGAAGACGTCTACTCCACCATGCAAGTTTTTTCTTTCGGATGGAGGATGCAAGAAAGGAAAGAGTTGCAGCTGGTCCCATGTCACCGACGAGAAGCGTCGATGCTGGATTTGTGGATCAGTCGCACACCTAGCGCCAGCTTGCGATAGGCCACGAGAAGCTTCGAAGGAAAATGGAGAGAAGTATGGAAAGGGAGCAGAAGGAAAGGGAAGCCAGAAGATGGTTCAAAGACAAGAGAAGAAAGAAGAAGGAGCAGCAAGGACTGAGGAGCTTCCTCAGCCAGAAGCACCATCTGAGGAGCCGTCTTCTACCTCAGCTGATATGAAAGGGCTTTTGGAAGAGGCAACGAAGATGTTGAAAGGTTTGACTATGCAGTCAAATGAAAAGGAGCAGAAGGGCAGGCAAGATCGTCTTGCGGCCATGCAAGATCAACTGGATGAGCTTCGAAAAGTCAAGGTTTTGAAGATTTCAAAGATGGAAAGAGAAGGAACTGTCTATGGACTTTTGGACAGTGGTGCAACTCATCCAATGCGAGCTGCACGACCAGGAGAAGATTTGTCAATGTGTGAAAACGTACGTGTGACCCTTGCGGATGGTCACCAAGTGGATATGGTGATGACACCGAAAGGAATCATGGTCATCGAGGATGGCAACGTGGAACCCATTGTTCCTATGTCAATGCTAGCAGGAGAGCTTGGGTATGTCATCACGTGGAAAGAAGGGTCTATGAAAGTGGAACATCCAAAGAAGGGTGCTTTGAAGGTCGTCATGCGGAACGGGTGTCCGCAGATCCCAAAGAAGAAGGCACTTCAGCTGATTCAGGAGTTAGAAGAAGGAAAGAGGATGAAGAAGATACAAGAGGAGGAAAGGAGTGCTGAGGAGAGGTGGCTTCAACAGTTGGTGAAGGCACATCCAGTCTTGAGGGAGCTCCCACAGCACATTCAGCAGAAGTTGGTGGTCAGCCCGGCAGAAGATTTGTCGTCCATTCCGGGCTGCAACAGAAGAAAAAGGAAAAAGATGAAAGAAGAAGGTTTTGTAGCTCACCTTTATGCAGGAGAATCAGAAGGATACTCCTTGGCCAGAGCCTTCAAAGAAGTGGGTGGCGATCCAAACCTTCTTGTGGAGATAGACATCAAGAGAGATTCAGAAGAACGACATGGAAGATCACATGACATGCTGAGAGATCATGATGGTCCATATCCATCGCTTTTGCGAGCTGCGCTGGATGGTGGACTGAAAGCCTTGGTGATGGGCCCGAATTGCCGAACACGGTCTGTGTTGCGGCACTACCCTCTTCCTGTTCCAGGGGGAGGACCAAGGCCAGTTCGGTCTTGGGAGGAGCCGTGGGGGAAGTCAACCAACACGGCAGAAGAGCAGAAGAAAGTTGTGGAGGACGATGTGCTTCTGTGGAGAGGGCTGATGCTCTACATCGTGCAGGAGGAGATCAGAAGGGCAGTTGGTAAGGGAGAGGAGTCAAAGATGAAGTTGGCACTTGAGCAGCCAGCAGATCCCTCTCACTATGTCCCTGAGGTGGTGTCTTTTTGGGGCACCAAGGAATGGAAGAAACTGCAGAATATGTACCAGCTTCAGGAACAGACCTTCCGCCAGTCCAGTTTTGGAGGTCGGGCAGTCAAACCGACCACTTTTGGAGGAGATCTTCGCCTGTGTGTCCCACAACTGCATGAAGAGATTCAAGAGGAGGAAGTGAAGCCTGTTGCCTCGTCTCAGGACTTGGCCAGATGGGCCCCAGGTCTTATGAGGCAAGTTGCAGAGAGTCTTCAACAGGCAGTCATGGCGAAGAAAGTGCGTTATGCGAAGATGAGCTGGGAGGAGCACATACAGAGAGGACATACACCTTTCAGAAGAGATTGCCAGGTTTGTCAGGAAGCTTCAGCGAGGGGGAGAATGCATTCAAAAGTCAGCCATCCACGAGCTGGAATCCTCAACCTGGACACTTGTGGTCCCTTCATCAAGGGACACGACGTGGAAGGCGATTCCAAGTTTATGCTCATCGGAACATACACATGGTTGAGACCGCCTGATGACAACCCAGAGGAGGAAGTGGAGGAGCATCCCCCGATTGAGGTTGCTGAAGGAGAAGAAGAACAGTGGCCAGAGATAGAAGACGTAGAAGATGAACGAGAAGAGATTCAAGAGAGAGAAGAAGAACAACCTCGAAGAGAGGATGAAGAAGAAGATCAAGCCCCAAGACAAGAAGAGGATGACGGGGGCAGGCCTAGAGAAGAGGCTCCACCTGTTCCGAAGATCGAGGTTCTTCGGGTAGCTATTCCCTTGAAAGGAAAAGGAAAAGAAGATGTACTCAGCGGGGCCATGGATCTTTACTTGCAGCTCAGAGCTGATGGATTTCCTGTTCAAGGCATCCACACTGATCGTGGAAGAGAGTTCATGAATTCCCGCTTCAAGCAGTGGACTCGAAGCAGGTGTATCATGCTTACAACAAATGGAGGAGAAGATCCACAGGCAAACGGAAGAGTGGAAAGAGCTGTTCAGGAGATCAAGAGAATGACAAAGCGACTGCTGCATGGTTCCGAGATGGACAAATCATGGTGGCCGATGGCTCTCAGGTATCTCATGGAGACTAGCAGATTGAGGAGAAAGCATGAAGACATGAAAATTCCAGCATTTGGAGAGAAAGTGCTGGTAAAGAAGAGGATATGGAGAACCAAGGCGTTGGAAGCTACTCACGAGAGCAGCAGATACCTTGCGCCAATGATCGAGGCACATGGTCACTGCATTCTCCGTCAAGATGGAAGATGGGGAGTTGCCCCATACGTCATCAAGAACGTCCAAAGTCCGCCACCACCCACCGAAGAGATGTGGCTGGCTTTGATGGAGGAGGCAGAAAGAGACGAAGTTCAAGAAAGGAGAAGAGTGAGAGGAAAAAGGCCTCTCCACCGAGGTGATGGTGAAGGTCTGTTGAGGTTGAGATCTATGCTGAAGGAAGAAGCCAAAGCAGTTGAGGAGGAGTGCCTCGAGAATGCCATGCTGGCGTTTCAAAGACTGGAACCTTGGAAGAAGTCCCTTCGCAAAGCAGAAGAGGAAGGAAGCGAGATCCTTCAGACCAAGATCATCAGTCCCCAAGAGTTGGAACGAGATGTCGAGCTCTGGGACGAGGCGATTAAGGCAGAAATGCACGCACTCATAGAAGAAAAGGGTGCCTTGAGGAGCATTAGTCGCCAAAAGAAAGAAGAGCTGCAGCAGCGATGCCCAACTTTGATAGTTGTCCCCAGCAAGCTGGTGATAACCAGAAAAGCAGGGGGAAGAAGAAAAGTGAGGATCGTTGCCTGTGGAAACTATATAGAAAAGGGACAAGAAGAGGACAGCCTCTATGCAGGAGGTGGAGACGCCACAGCACTCAGGGCATGTCTCAGCAAGGCCGTGCAAGCTGACTGGCTTGCCGCTACGTTGGACATCAAAACGGCATTTCTTAATGCTATGCTCCCAGGTGAGGGCGCAGATGACGAAGTCGTGGTGATCTTACAACCACCAAGGCTGCTGGTCAAGCTGAAGTATGTCCAGCCGGACGAGTTCTGGGTGGCGGTGAGAGCCATTTATGGGCTTCGTCAATCACCAAAACTATGGGGCGCACATCGCGACACCAAGATGGGCGGCATGAGTTGGGAAGGTCAAGAAGGCACCATCGCCCTAGAACCCATGGTTGGGGATCCAAACATCTGGAAGATGATCCAACTGAAAGAAGGCTGGGAAGAGGTCACCAAGGGCCTGATTTTGGTCTACGTGGATGATCTGCTGATCATGGGGCCAGAGCCTTTGATCCAGAAGTGCATCAAAAGGATTTCAGAAGAATGGGAGATAAGCAAGCCGGAGTGGCTAGGAAAAGATCGAGGAGTCAAGTTTTTGGGCATGGACATTTGGCTTACAGAAGAAGGAGTTTTTTTGCATCAAGGCAGCTACTTGAAGGAGCTGCTGAAAAGAAATGGAGAAGAGCATGGACTTCTCTCTGGAGTCCCAATCACACGAGATCAAGTTTTGCGCCTGGAGGAGGATGATCCACAGAAAGATGCAGATCAAGTCAAATTAGCTCAGCGTGCGGTGGGAGAGTTGATGTGGCTCCTCACCAGAACGCGTCCTGACTTGATGTTTTGCCTCAGCAAGATGTCTCAGGCCATCTTGCGAAATCCAAAAGAAGTCGTCGGAGTTTCCAAGCAGGTCTGGAAGTATCTGAGGAAGACACAAGATGAAGGTTTGTGGATAAGAAGAGGAGAAAGAAACGTTTTGGAGGTCTATACGGACTCGTCCTATGGTCCTGGGGGAGCAGACTCTCAGGGCACAGTGCTGGTCCTCTGGAATGGAAGCTCACTGCTGTGGAAGTCTGGAAGACAGTCCATCCCATCTCTCTCTACGGCGGAGAGTGAACTTTCAGAAGCGGTAGAAGGAATGGTGATGGGAGACAGCGTGGACGTTCTCGTCCAAGAGATCTTCGAAGAAGGATACCCAAAGATCATCAAGGTAGACAACACTGCCGCGATCAACCTTCTTACAGAAGCTTCTGGAAGTTGGAGAACGAGGCACTTGCGTCTCAAAGCATCACATGTCCGATGGCGATTTGGAAGAATGGACTGGATGGTTGAGGCTGTGCCAGGACAACATCAAATCGCTGATGTAGGCACCAAATCTCTTCCAGCGCCAAGATTGGAGGAGCTGAAAAAGATGATGAAAATGGGAAGCTATGAAAGAACAAAAGAAGAAAGTGAAGAAAAGGAGGAGGACATCAGCCAAGACGTACAGGAAAGAGATATCAAAGAAGGACCAAAAAGAGAAGATGTTGAGAAAATTCTCAGGGTGATTGTGGCCTTGGGATGTGCGCATCATGCATATGCACAAGAAGAAGAAGAAGAACAAAGAGAAAGAGACAGCGGATGGGAGATTCTGATTTTGGTCGTCCTAGCTTTTGTAGGAGTGGTGCAGATTTTCCAAGCTTTGACAAGGGCTGTCAAGCAGTTTTGGAGACGACGGCAGAGAAGAATCAAAGAAGAAGAAGTTCAGAAAAGAGAGCACATTGAAGATGAAAGAAATGAAGAGGAGAAGCCGAGTGGAAGTGGACTGAGTCGTCCAAAGGCATTGCCACCTTTGGATCAGGCTCCGCAACCAAAGTCTACTCACCAGATAGAGCAGGCTCTGCAACCAAAGCCTGCATCTCAGGCTGCTCCGCCACCAATGAGTTTTTCTCCGCCGAAAAGTTCAGCACCATCAGTGCCAACAGCAGTTCTTTCAACATCTAGTCAGAGTGCGAGAAACAGTAGCTCGGTAGCTGCTGTGAGTATGCCAAGGACGGCGAACACACCAGTGGTTTCTCAGATTAATGTGACCAACACAGGGACAGCCAGAACCGACAGAACGAGCAGAGGTTCTGGTAGAAAACCAGCATTTATCACTCCATGGGGAACCAAGTGGCATCAAGATACCACTTGCCCTACTCTTGCTAACTCTAGAAGTCTCATTCCAAGCCAATGGTGCCAATCATGTTCAGAGGCCAACCGAGATGAATCCTTGCCAATACTCTCAGTGGGCCCAGGGGGAGTAGCACACTATGATCCCAACTGACCACTGCTTTCATCAAATTCGAAGAGGTATTCAAAGTGTCAGAGGTGTTAAGAGTGATTTCTAACCTGCTCTCAACGAGACAGGTTCGAGACAGGGTGAGCCAGAAAGAAAAGGAAGAGCGAAGAGAAAAGAACGGCTTGAGTCAGAAAGTGAGAGGGAAACCGTTTTTTAGGTTTTTTGCACATCCCTTTCGAAATGCGAAATCAATTTTGTGCTGTGGATGGAAATTCCCATAGCCAATACTTATGAAAGAAGTGAGTTGGGTGACGTGCGTCGCCAACTCGGGGGAGTGTTCATCATTTTGGAACACATCACTCCATGTACAATTTCAGCTGTGATCTTTGACTGCTTGCATGCAGCCGTTTTTCGTATCAAAAAGACGAGGTGCGTTAACGGGCGGTGTTGGTGAGGAGATCGGAATTTGAAGAGGGGCACAAATCGAGAAGTGTAACCCCAGAGAGCAGCCTCTAACCTGCTCTCAACGAGACAGATACATATAATATTATTGGTATACACGTATAGTATGTATTTACGTGTGCATGTATATATATATATGTATATATATATACACATATGTTTTATGTACATATATATTTATATGTACACACACACACATATATATATATTTATATATATATGTATGCACAAATTCTCTATTGACCAACCAATTGATAAAACACCGCCCCAGGAAACTGCTCTATGCGCTGGGAACCGAAGGGCTCCATGTGCCATGTCGAATCGCCACACAGATGACCGCGGAATCTTGGGACATCTTCCAGGGGGGATTTCGCCATGGGGATATGTTGGGGACATCATATATCATATATGATATGGATTATAATGGATTATAATGGATTTTTATGGGGTTTATAATGGATTATACGGGATTATACTGGATTATAATGGATTAGAACGTTTTTTTTTTTAATGGGGATATGGGTTCTGATGGATTGTAGTATGATATGATGTGGAACATAATGCGATATATTGATATATATATATACATACATACCCAACAATCTATATTGGTACGTCATGGGGATGATATAATGGATTTCAATGGGGATATACCCGGTGTATACCCAACAATCTATATGGGACTGTCTGAAAACGATACATCAGAATTGGCATGAAATGGCGGGGAAACTATGATGATTTATATAATCAAAACCCATTTTCCGGGAAAAAAACTCCAGAGGCTGGGCATTGTTGAATTTTCCAACATCTTCTCAGGAGCTGGTCAAAAGTATAGTGATTTCATATCATTCATTTACCCATCTGATTTCTGGGCACATCATTTTGTGCAGCGTGTTGGGCCAGCCATTTGCAACGCAGGGATGGTCTGCAGTGACTGGGAGACTGGGAGACTGGGAGACTGGGAGACTGGGAGACTGGTGCGTTTTACGTAGGGAATGGATGGGAATGGGGTTGCTGGGATGATTACTAGAGATGACTGGGATCATTCCCTGGAGAAACACTCCTGGTAGGCGGTAGGCTTTGCTTCGCCAAATGGAGGATGATGTAGTGATGGTATTGAATTCGAATTCATGGCAGATGAGAATGCGATCCATGGCAAAGTTCAGCAGTTTCCGTAACTCCCAAAAAGCAGTGGTTCTACCAGTTCCTCAAGACTGTACCACCCGGTTGTCATCAATTTCTGGACTTAATGTAACGCCGAATTTCTGGGATGGGAGTATCCCCTGGTAAACAAGCATGGCAATGGGAAAGCATCCGTAAATTGCAATTTTATATAACGCGAAAATCATCTGAAAGGGGGTGATTTGCCATTGCCATGTTTGACTACCACAGGGTATTGTATATCCTCCTCCTCCTCATCCTCATCCTCATCATCATCATCATCACCATCATCACCAACCACCCTACATCATAATCATATTCATATTCACAATCATAGTCATCACAATCATCATACAGCCGTGCTTCTTTGATCAATCAATCATTTCTATGTGTTTATATACACGGTATAGATAGATACAGGTCGATGTTCTATATAGATGATATTCGTATCCCTATGTATGGATTTGGGCTATGGCTGATGGTCAATATGTGTGTTTGACCCCCGAGTTAGTCTCCTGATGTGTTGATGGTGCATGGCCCAATCATTGATGTGTCGTGGTGCTGGTGAAGAAAAAAACAGTCATCCTGAAAAGTCACAAATCCCCCAAGAGTTTGGACCTTGGATGAAAACCTCTCAGTTGTCAGTTTATGATCCCAACTATGAGTAGCCTTTGGTAAACATACAAAAAGCTATTGAACATGGCCATAGAAATAGTGAGTTGTCCCATAAAAAACGGTGATTTTCCACAGTTATGTTAGTTTACCAGAGGGTAAAACCTTCATAAAGCCAACAGTTATTGGAGTCACCAGAGCCAACCCGGGCACCACTGCCTGGCGGCCGATCCAGAAAACCTGCCCTACCCACCAGTGGCCAAAGGGGCCGTTGGGCACACCGTTGGCCGGGTGTGGGGCGCATGCTGGGGTACCTCTCAGCAGGACTAAACAGTGATAAAACCGCTGAACCCTGGGAGGTATCGGCACCTTTGAGGCCAACGCATCCGGAATCCGATGGATGTATGACAGTGAGACAATGCGCTAAAGTGCTCACTGGAGGTGTCCAGGTGATCCTGGCTGGCATGCTGTGAGGGGAGGCCAAACACATTTTTGAAGACTGGATGCTTGTGCGATCAGGCCAACTGATCTGCCATGGCGTTCCTTCAATAGTCTTGAAGTCTCACACAAGAACGGTTTCACAATTCTCCACGGCCCAACAATCACTGCTAGCTGATAGCTAGATTGCAAAACCTAGAGGTCCTAACATTGTCGTGCTATGTTCATTCTGGTGGCATGTTTCAATTGCGGTTGTGATGCTGCTCTTTTTGTCGTTTGGCACGGACAGCAGTTTCGCCGTATTTCTGAAGATTTGCAGAAACTCATGCCACTGAGCAAAATATACCATGTTTCAAAGTCGGATTCTGTCGCAGCAAGGATCAGAATCTGCAATTCATATGGTATGGGTCAAATGGATCAACCAAAAAACGGTTGTGTCTGTATCCACATATGGACCTGTATCCGTAGTGGAAACGAATCAGCTTTGCCCTACCCGTGGTCGGTGTCAAACCGTCATGGAGCCGCCAGTGACCATGACCCGATGTGACATTGGAGGCGCACATCTTGTGTGGACGACCATGGGAGGCATCGGCACCTTTGAGGCCGCATCCTGAATCCCATGGATGTATGACAGTGAGACAATGCGCTAAAGTGCTCACTGGAGGTGCCCAGGTGATTCCTGTTTGGCATGCCGTGGACTGATCTGCTGTTCTGGCGTCCTTTCTGCAGTGCTTTTGACGTTGGAACGACTTGGAGAGTAAAAGCCATTGCGCAATGTTGCAAAACTTGTAGATCGCAACATGACATGGTTATAGTTATACAATGTTAGACATACATGCATATATATATATTATAAAATACATGGATATATTAGCTTTTATATGATTCTATATGATTTCTATTAGATTCTTACTTTGAGCAGTTTTGTAGCAAAAACAATGCTCAGGGAATTCACCTTTTCCTGATGCTTCGGGCTCACGTGATGGACCAAGAACTGGAGTGTGCACCCAAATTTGGTGCAGGTCAGACAACCGTGAGGCCAGGAGCTTTCCACAAACTGATGGTCGAAGTGCAAAGTGAAGGCCATTCATTCGGAGCCTTTCTACACTGATGACGACCTTTAAAACCAGTTCAATTGGCTGACAGAATATGTTGAGGATGAAGCTTCCATTTGGCCCCAAGAAGCCTTCCCAGGCGAATCCCAAACGCACGTGACTTTAGGGGGCACGAAGAGATTCTCCATCCTTTCTGAGATGCTCATCCTGACGAAATCACATTTTTGTACCCCGGGGCTCAGCAGTGAAGAATGGTTGGTTGGTAATTGCTGCCCTCATTCATGGTGTTCTGCCCACATTACAAAGCACATGTGAAAAATTGGGGAAGGTAGCGGGGGTAAATGGCAAGTGGGACATAGTAGGGGTTATAGTGTACATATCCATTGTTTCATTAGCGGGGGTACCCCAAGAAAACGACCGGTTTCTATTTCAAAGGAAACCCATCCTTTTTTTGAACAGTCCAGGAGTTTATAAAGTCAAGATTGACATCATCAAACTCATCAAAGCTCCATTGAGACGACCAGACTTGGCCAAGGAATACTTTGATTCGCCTACCGACGGATTTCCTTTCTACCAGAGTCATTTGCAGGCGCGCTTCGGGCGCCTCATGGTGTGATGCGGTCAACAGTTGAAGACCTGGAACATCCTGGAACGAAGGAGAACACATCATCTGTACCATCCTGAACATACTTTTCCGCCTCTTTTTGGGTGACCTTTTTGTGGGGAATTGATCTCCAAAAACTAGCTGATTCGCCATGTTATTCACTGGTGATTTTCGTGGTCCACGAAGCGGGACGAGAAACGCGAGGAAAACGTGCGGGAGTTGAAGCTACAAGAACTGTGATCCAACAACAGAAGAATTAAAGCAAGAAAAACATAGAAAACTGGTATGTAACCACCAAGATTTGGGCAAAGTGTAGACAAGACCGCATGGCTGACCGAATTTCGGCTTACTTTGAATGGCGAATTTCGGGGGAAATTCGGGAACGACACCAAGGTTTCTTGCCAATGAAATACATGATATTACGTAAAATATACATACCTTTGCAGAGGAAGGTGACAAGTGGGACACTTGGATGATTCATCCAATTTCATAAATTTTCATAAGAGGTTGCAGAGATGTGGCTAGTCCGCTGAAATCCATCCATATCCGTGGTAGTCTGGGGTCTCCGGCAAGGCTTGCGCAGGGGAAGGCAGGAAATCCGTGGGCCTTCCATTTACCTCTCCGCCTTGGATATCAGTCAGTGACATCCGACCCTGTGTTTCAAACTATGAGGAGTTCTCGTGTTTGTTGGGTTCCCATCATCCATGCTGATAGCGTTTCATTCTGCAGGGGAGCCTACCTGGATTCGGTGTTCTACCGTTGTGGTCATCTCACCAGGTAGATGGTATCCTGACTGGTACACTACTGTTGTCCCTATTCTGGGTACCTTTAAGTTTTGATTGCCACTTGTCAGACCATTCGCCGTTGGCGTTGCTTCATTCCAGTTTTGGTCGAAGTTTCATTTCCATTTTTGTGGCTCGAGTCCCAACCGCAGGAACCCAATTTGACCCGTGTGACAACACAGACCAGGTCGAAGAACATCGTTCGTAGCTGGTTGAAATCCCAATTGATGGAGAACACAAATCCATTTTGGATGTGTCCCGATTTTTGGGTGTAAACGCCCCAATCTCTGAAGTAAAAGTCCTACAGAAGTTGTGAATATGGCGTAAATCTCCAGTTCTTGGCGTAAACTCCTCGTTTGGGGAAGTAAAGACATGCCCGAGCTTGAAGTGGAAAATCACCATTCTGGGGTCACATCCTAATTCAATCCCAAATGAAAGTCCCCGATTCTTGGTATAAAATCTGGGTAAATTATAACGACCTCACTGCGACCTCACTGGAATCATGGTTAATAAGAGAAATCATCCCCAAATGGCCTTATTTCAGGTGAGTGAATTATTGTAATTTACCCAGATAAAATCCCAATAAAATCACCAATTTCTTGGAACCTTCTCCCTCCGCAGGTCAAAGCCTTGGTTTTCGCGTGCGGCAAACGGGCGAACGGGGCGATGTGGTGGAGATGGACGCAGCAGGTGCACGGAGATCGGCAGGGATGTTTTCTTCTACAATATTTCTTGGTTACCCTCTGGTAAACTAACATAACTATGGAAAATATTGGAAAATCACAATTTTTACTAGGTAAATTTTAAATCAACTATAAATGTGTCATTTTCAACAGCTATGTTAGTTGACCAGAGGGTAATGTGGATAGTGGATAACTAGTGGAAAGAACATGTAGAAAAACGGTTGGAACATATTTTCAACGGTGAATAACTAGTGAATAACTAATGGAAAATAACAATAGTTAATGGGATATAACCAACATTGACCAACCATAAATGGTGATTTATTGGGTATCATGGGAATATCATGGGAATATCATGGGATATATCAGCAACAATGGTTTGGTTACCCTTCCGTCATCAAACCTGGTTGGGAAATGTCCGATCAAAATGGAGCTTTCTGGGAGAACGAACATGTTTGGATTTCGGGAGGCTAGTTCGGTTTATATATAACCACCGTAAGTATTCATGAGTAGTATTTATGGTAGATATGAATATAGTATTTATATTTATGGTATTGATTTATTGTAGGTAAGTTTATATATAACCACTATTTATGGTAGATATGAATATCTATGTACATAGTGACTTAATGGTGATTGAATGAACATGAATATACATAAATATGATGTGGGGAATACGAAGCACCAAGCGATGGGAATACGCCCTCTGGGATCATCAAAGATGGCTAGCTGGGAAATCCCCGAACTAAATGGCCATGTAAGCAGTAAAAACATCGAACTATATAAATGGGGGAATTTTCCAGCACGCCATGTTTGCTTACCAGAGGGTATCTCTAAAATCTGGGCATATCAGTGGGACATATCATGCGAATTGAATTGGGATTTGTATAATGAGTATAATGGGATACAATGGGGATATAATCGATCATTGGGACCTCTCCCCCGAAAATGGTGATTCAAGGAAAGAAATGGTATTTTAACCTACGCAACTGGTGGTATAATGGTGGTATGATGGTGGTATGATGGTGGTATAATAGGATAGGAACAGCTATATGAATTACAACGACCTCAGACTGGAATGATTGGGAATGATTCGGGGATCCGAGACATCCGAGATGGCCGCACTTCTAGTGAATGATTATCATGTTGTTCATGGAAAATATGAGACACGCACTGGTATTTGTTTTGCAGTTTGCCATGGTAGTTCGATGGCCGATTTCGTTCGATGACTTACCTACTCGTCTTGTACTGGTGATTCTCCATAGTTGAACTACCAGAGGGATAGAAAAAAACCACTGGGGAATACGCCAAAATAATCCAACATATCATAACATATCCATCATTATGAAACATCATGGGGATATTTCATGGGATATGACCAACTTGATATGAACATGATGGGTTTCTCTGAAACTGGGGGATCCCGACAAAAACAGCAATCTCAAACCGGGGGGGATCGGGGGGGACTAAGCCGATCATGTTTTGGGATTTAAACCTTGGATGGGATACTTTAAAACTTTAGTCTTTTGCTATAAGTGAGAGATTCACTTCGCAGGGTACTGGGTGTATCTAAGATTGACCATGGTATTGTGAATGGGAATGTCATCAGCGAACCATCAACCAACAGAGGTTTTTGACGGTTCTTGAGAACTGCGCAGGAATTTAATGATGAATTTGACCAACCTTTGAAGAACATATGGTGGAAACTAGGGATTCAAACTAGGGATTCAAACTGGTTCAAATAAGAGACGTGGATTTCAACAAAAAGACAACACACTTGTGAACTTCAAAAGCGAAAATGTGAATTTGACGGACAGCATATGGGGATGCTGGTTCCTTGGTGTGATCAAGTAACAGTTGGGCCGACCAGCCAAGCCTGGGATACAACTGGGTTTGTGTCAAAACACCCTGGGGGCCACATATTTTGCTGCTGTTTAAGCTGTTTGAGTAGTAAATGATCCAATTTTAACCGATATCGAAATGCGGTTATCTTGGAAAACCTTGGATGATCAATACTTTATCCTTCACCAACCTTGCTGCGCGCAGCACCCAGCTGGGAAATAATCGAAGCCAATGGTGGATTTTCCAGCAAGCCTTGTTTGATTACCCGTGGGGAACCATCATTATGGGGACATAATGGAGATATAATGCAGACGTAGTTTGATATTATATATATAATATATATATTTATATGTTTTAACCATAATCAACCCTATGATTTAGTATATATTTTTTTGTTTCTTTCGCCATTTTGATTTTTGGAGATGCCATCGTCCAGGTTCCTCAGTGGGCCTGAACGCCTTCACACCGGTGCAGCTAGGCTGGTCGTTGTCTGAACATGTTGGAAAGACCACACTGACCATGGTTTCCATGCTTTCCATTGGTTTAGGACATACATTTCCACATGAACACGGGGATTACTTAGGGTATCCATCATTTTGGGACAACACCGTCTATGAGAAAACTCGCAAAAAATCACTAACCATTTCAGGTCGGTGAATATACATTTGGCTAGATAAATGTCAAGAGAGATTGACCAAAGGGAGCACGTGTCTTTTGTCATATTTTTTTGGGTGAAAGGGATGTCCAGAACGTGATTGTTCATGAAACGCAGCAACGAAAAACGCCGCCCATTGCCCAGACTATCATGTATCTACAATATGGTTGTGATTTCATCCTCTGTTTTGATGGTGCGGAAGTGCTCGTTCCGCCGTGGTAAATCGTCTTTCAGTTGCCCAAAGAACATGTAGAAATATCATCGGTGGCTTTCCACCAGAGGGAAATGTTGAAAAAAATGATGATGGTAGTTTAACCTCCCTTAACCTCCATTAACTTCCATTTTAGCGCATGAATATACCCTCACAAAGCTAGTTTAACATAGCTATGGCATATCATTAGATGGTACATCATCTAACTAGATGGTTCATTTCCATAGCTATGCTATTATTGCTATAATATGTTATGTAAAATATTATATATATAGCCAGTAAGAATATATATATATATATATTAGAACTAATACATTATAAATTATACATGTATCGATCATAATATGATACAATACAAAAACACATTCTGGAGGCGAATTCCCGTGAAATATGTCCTGACGGCGTCCGCTTGGCGGAAAACTCTGCCAGGCAGCCCGGATGCCTTCCCTTTGGAAGCTACGCCTGAGATGTCCAGCAGCACCTTTGCTGCACCCCATGGGAAAATCATTGGGAAAATGAGGGGAAAACCATGGGAAAAGATCGGAAAATCCACTATAAATGGAGGTTTCATGGGGCACTCATCCCTACTACTATGGTTATACGATGTTATATATGTCCACTTATAACTGGAACTGCCGTATCGTGACTGGTGTTCAAGGGAACTTCACTGGGCCATGGGTCGTTTTGGGGAATGAGATTGAACCATCTTGAATATACCAACATTTTTCATTGTTGTTTGGACCTTCCCCATGTCATATCCCCGGTGTGGTTGGTAAAGTCCGCATTTCTTTGCCAAAATATCATGTTTATGGGTTAAATCACATTGAATCCGCGTTTTTCCCAATCTTTTCCAGTAAAATCCTCGGTTCTGGAACATAAGAACATCTTTAAACCAAAAATGCGTTTGTCTGAACATAGGGTACCCCATTCCATCCACTGGTGAATCATCATTTTCATTCATTTTCCCTATTCACGTGACCACAATTTGGGAGGTAAATACGACATTTTTAGACGCACCACATCATGTATTGTTGGTCAGATATTGACGACTATTGCTATATTATCGTATACGTATATCCCATAGTATCATATCATATCATATTCCAATTCTATATATTATGTAGAATGGTTGTTGAATCCCTTTTTATCATTGTTACTATCATTCTCACCCATCCAAAAGTGATGATCTCCTATCAAATCGCGATTGTTCATTCATCCAAACAGCGATCAACCCCCCTATTAGAACATTATCATTTTCCGGCGTAAATCCAGCATTTTTCAGTTTTTGGTGATCTCTTGGTGATGTCCCCATGATATCTCCACTTCACAATATTTGTCGTTAAATCCACCATTTTCCCAGGTGAATTCCAGCCTTTTTTGGGACAATCTCCAGGTCTCGAGCGCCTCAAGGCTTCTGCGGAAGCCACTCTGAAGAAGGCGGAAGTCAAGGTGCAGGGAGTGGGGTACCAAACCATTAGAAAATCAGGGAAAACCATTGGAAAATCATGGGAAAATCCACTATCAATGGAGGTTTAAAGCTGGGACACTAGTCCATAAATGGTGGATTTTTCAGCCAGGGTCGAACGTTGAAGCCTTGAGGAAACTCTGTGTGAAGTTCCCTAAACTTGATTAAAACGGAGGATTTACAGCACTTCCCCGACATTTGTATCGTGAAGATGGATCAACCCTTTAAGCTATGGACATCGGAAGAAAACATCGACCAGAATGAAGCCTACCACAAGTTCAAGTGCCAACAAAAACACGCAACATGCCAAAATCTTTGGAAAATGCCAACTCGGAAAAGAAGAAGTACATCGTCATCAGATGCCAGATCCAGATTTTGCCGGAAGAAGATTTTCCGAGGAAAAGAAGAACACACCGCCCAGTGATGACCCTGCGGGTCCTGCAGGAGGCCTCTTTCATGACGGCCTTTGGTGAGCCGGGCTGTCGCGAGCTGGCCACCTTTGCCTCTCAGGTGGAGATGGAGGGGCAGCTGGGGATGGGGATTTTGTTGGGGATTTGAAGGATCAAGATATCTCAAGATCTTCAATCAAGAAGAATCCTCATTTTCCTCATTGGTGGGTGAAATTTCTGAATTTTTGAAGTTTCAAAGCGGCTTCAATCGCAAGGGGTAAAGTTTGAGCTCCAATTGTCCTATGGATGTGCCAGCAAAAAGAGGGTCGGTTACCAACGGATTCTGCTGGTTTCCAGCGGTCAACATCGCATGATCACCCAGAGAAGACGGCCTAGGGATTTCTGGTGCTTTTGTTGCAATCCATGAGGGGGCGTGGATCCTGAAACTAGATCTCTGTTGGGTCTATCAAATATCATGATCTAAATATCATTGAATATCATTAGATCCAACTATTGTATGTTTTTTTTTCAGCAAGATAAACATTGCAAAATACTTCTCACCGCTTGTTGTAATGCAGTCGGAACTCAATCCCCGGTGTGATCTAAAGATCATTGAATATCGTCAACTATCATAGATATTCATAGATATTCAATGATATTTAGATGGATCTTACCATGGTCTATCAAATATCACCCAAAAAAATCATGGTAAGATCCTGGCGAAAATCACGGGCGATCGCCCGGATGATCTTTTTCCAGGTGGCCGGTGCCTGCGCCAGCTATCGCCTGGAGTCTGTGGCCACCATTGGCGCCTCGCGGCTGCTGCTGCGGGGCGACACGGTGGAGACCCGTGCCCCGGCTGTGGGGGTTGGAGGTTGGGGTGGTGATGTTTTTCTTTCTTAAGATGTTAAACGTTGATGGTGTTGAAAGATGTTCAGTTTTGATTTGGATAGTTCCGGGTTGATAGATGGCGATATCCGATCTGAATCTCTTTGCAATGTTCGAGGCATACAAAAAAACAAGTGCATGAGTTGCTGACACTCACATGAGTTGCTTTTGAATGGGGAGTCGCAACAACCGATCCCATGCAACAGGAACTGACACTCAAGTTGAAAGCAAGGGCCCACGTGAGGTTCTCTCCAAATGTGGAATGGGCGAGATGGCCAATTTTAATGGTTTCAGGATGTTTTAGGTAATAACGGGTTATTCTTTCATGGGTAGTTTAGTACTTGAATCTTTTGCTATGGGGATATATGAAGCTATCCAAGCAATAGTAATCTTTTTGCATGGTAACTAACTGAGATTGCGAATGGATCTGGCCCACTTCAAGTGGTTGGACCACAGATGCCACGTATACTGGTGACTGGCGCCCAGGGAATGTTCGCATGGCCATGGATGAGGTGCGGATGGTGGAGGTAGTTGTAAATTCCATCTTTTTTTGGGGCGAAAATAGTTGGGATACGTTCATTTTAAGTGGAAAACATTGGAACATGTTAATCTTGTTTAGTTGGACATATCAATCTCAAGTGGGACAATTCATTGATACCTGGGAATATCCGAAATTGGTCATCTCGGGCGCCAATTGACAGTGGGTCTCTACCCCCACCTTGGGACTGGCAGTGAAAGATCCAGGTTTCCCATCAATCCATGTGGGAATTTACCCGCCGGGAATCAAACGTGGCAATTGAAAATCATGGCCATCATGGAGTTTGAGTTGGAAAACCATCAAATGGTGGATTTCGATTGCCATGTTTGATTACTGGAGGATATCCATACTGATTTCTGTATCAATCTTCAAGCGCCAAAAACATCACCACTTAGCTTAAATCCCCAGGAAATACATCCAGAGCGCTTCCAGGAAGTGCAGTTTGCACGCGCGCCCGGGGGGCAAGTGAGCGATGCCATGGACTTTCCCTACTGCATGCTGGAGGCCCTGCGATCCAAGTGATTGCTGGATGGTGGGTGGATAGGAATGGATTGCACTCTGGTAATTTAATAGTTTGCTCTGGAACATCACCATTTTCAGATATTGTTGAGAGGTAAATCATCCAGAAACGGGCATTTTTTTCCAGAGCAAACTGTTAAATTGCCATAGGGCATTTGTTATATCTTTGTTGCGGTATATTTTTAGTGGTCGGAATGATTGATATCCCACTGAAAAAATCAAGAATGGTTATCAACAACGAACTCGTTGCAAATCTGACTCGTTCGAATTACCCTCTGGTTATCTAACAGTTCGCGAACTGGAACAAAAACACAATTTTTTCAGCCGTCAGCTGGCAATAAACAGCTCCCATGACTGGGGATGGTTGGAATCGCAGCCAAAATGGTGATGACTTGGGGATCGTGAAAAATGGGGTTTGCTACTCTGAAGAAAAATCGATTGGATGATATTGGTGTGTGTTTTTCTATCGATCACCAAATGATATACCAATATCTAATATCTACATTTATATGGCTTAATGTCATGGTATATCATTTGGAAAATATTATAAATACCGTGGTGTACCATATAGGTATCTAAATGTAGATATTGGATTATTGATATATCTATTAATACCATGCATACCTTTATGAGTTTTGTATACCATGGTATACCAAAATGGCCTCAAATACTGTGGCCAGGTCTCCGGTGAGAATCTGGGCGCCGCAAAGCGGCTTGGACCTCGCGATGTGTCAAGCGATGGTGGATCCCGAAGTCACCATGGGTTTTTGATACTTGATATGGGGGTAGCCGCATTTTAGGAAACCTCCATATGAATCCATATGATATATATATATATATATATGTATATGTATGTATATGTATGTATATGTATGTATATGTAGTATGTATATGTATGTATATGTATGTATATGTATGTATATGTATGTATATGTATGTATATACATTCATTATAACATCTTTTTGGAAGGCAAGGGTCAACTCTGAATCCTCAAGAACCAATCCCAAAGATCACTGCTTGGAATAGCCTCTGGTTATGACTAACAGTTCGCCATGGTATAGATGGCCCCAATCGAAATAGATGGTTTACCGAACTTAAGAATGGTGGATCTTTCCATGGCGAACTGTGAATGTCATAACCAGATGGTACTTGAATCCATGAACATCAGTCATGAAGATGAAACATCAACCATCATGGACCACCATGAAGACGAAACCTCAGCGACAAGTCCCATCATCCATTAATAATTTCATATCAACCACCAGCCCACCAGTAATTAAACTCTCGCTTCACCAACCAAACCTCAGCAACCAAAACTGGCATATCGAAATCCCACCCCCTCTGGCAAATACATGCACGGTCTCATCTTACACGTCATATCATTCGGTTTTTGAATCATAGTTTACGGAGCATAGTTTACGGATCTTGGTTTACGGAGCATAGTTTACGAATCATGGTTTACCGAAGCTCTGGATATGAAAGCGATCTCACTGCGACGTCGCTGTAAATGATGCTCGATAACGGAAATATCCCCAAATGGCCTAGCTTCGTGAAAAATTGGACCATTTGGGTGTGGCTGAAAACGATGATCAACCAGATAAACCAGATCTTGAAGTACCCAGCCTGGGAACCAGCCGGATAAAGATCAAAGACATCGGATTTATCATAATTAATTTATCATTCACCCAATCATTCACCACCTATTCACCCAATCATTCACCATAGATAATCCAGAAAACAATTGTCATCTTTTTCCCAATCCTTCAGCTGCTGGTCGTGCAGATGGCTGGATGAGCTGCGCGGCGACGCCGTGCTACGGGAAGCTCCTGGCTTCAACGTGCCTCGACGATCAAAGATGGGACGGGGATGTGAGACGTGGCAAACTTAGGGATATCTTGGGTTATTTGATGTTTATATTGGGATATATAGGGATTTTAATGGGAAGATCATATTATCCCTGAAATCGAAGGGATATCCAATTGGTTTATTATATTGGGATATACTGAGATTTTAATGGGAAGAGCATTGGACTTTTTCATGGGACATTTCTTCGCCACGAATATGATACCCTCTGGTAATTTAACATAACTATGGAAAATCACCATTCTTAATGGGAAAACTCACTATAAATTGCCATTTTCAATAGCTATGTTAAATTACCAGAGGGTACCCCCAAATAATGCTATATTTATGGGGAACATGATTATCAACCACTGGATTTTGGGGTATTTTCAGACAAGCCCGTATTTTAGCATATATATTGGGATAAGTCAAAAGCGATAAACATGTTCCGTAAATCCTGTTGGGACGAAGATGAAAATCAATTCGAAATATTGTGATCTGAACAGGAGACTAGGGTTGTGAAGCATAGACATATGGCATATTATAATATATTATATGTATACATATAAATAGTGTACATTTATTTTTGGATGCGTATGCGCGCATATTCATGTATGTATGTAATACGTCATATAAATCAATGTACCTCAGGAATAAGTAACATCATATGTCTATCTATTGTACATATATATATATCTATATACATATGCATAAATCGTATGTGTACATGCTTATGCACGCACCGAATCATTTGCTTCCGAGACTCCATACGCCTGCTAGCTGGCAAGAAACGTCACATGTCACATGTGTCACATGTTTTCTCAATGGGACTTGGAGGTTAAGTCTCATGGTGATCTCGAACATTGGATGCTTGAGCGCTAAACATGGCCCATTTGAGACACCCAATATGAAATGCCACCATATGGGCCCCAAAAATGAAAGGCCGAAATATTAAACAAGAGGTTTCAAGGAGGAATTTCATAAGGGGAAAGGATGATTCCCAAAATTTACAGGAATTTATAGCAACCCACCCACATATGATATAATATTAGCTGCATACATCATATATATATACATATATATATATTTATAATATGATATAATATATATATATTATATCTATCATATGTATATATATATATTCCATATTTATTATCCCCATAAGCATGGTCAACTACCCAAATTTTGGCCACCGCTTCACTCTCCTCCGCCAGTGTTCAGGTGGGAGTCCAGGCAGTCGCAGCGTTGTGGAAAGATGACGTGCCATCCTTGCCCCACTGGTGCGCGCAGGGGGGACCTGGGAATTTTTCGGTGAAGATCGGGAGATCTATGTTGGAGGTGAAAAAAAATCTCTCAGTGGATTTTTTTTTGGGTTTGGATCAGGAGTTTCGAGTGTTTAGATACCCGAAATTTGATCATCAAGGTTCGCCAAAGGGTCAGGTACATGTTTCAGGTGCGACGGATTCCGATGACAATCGCTGCACAGAACCCAATCCTAAACTGGATAAAGGTTTCAATCTTTAGTGCACACATTGATATGTGTACAAGTATGTATATAACTGTATATATATAATTGTATATATAATTGTATGTACATATATATATATATGTATAATGATATATATATGTATACATACATATTAGTGTTGTTACTTTTTCATCCCTACTTAGTTACTTGGGTCAATTGTCCCAATCCTCATTTTTGGGGAATTGGCCTTGGCCTGAACGAAGGTACCACGTGGAAGACAGCTTCGACAAGCCTGAGGATGGGATCAAGCGGAGGGGCAACATGTATAGATATGGGATTGAGATATAAGAACTGCGAGATTATACACGATATCAAACAATATCAAACAAAACTGGATGGTTTTTGATATCAAAACTGGATGGTGCTTAAAACACATATTAAAACAATTCTCCAATAAGCACCCCTGCACCTCTTTGTTTTTTTGGGTCGATGTCCCGCTTGTTTTTGTCCGTTTTTCTTCCGCATCGAATCAATGGAGAATGGTTTTTGGATGTTACTGAAATCTGGCCATCATATTATGCCATAAATTGCAAGAATAATGATATAACACTAATCATGATAATGAAAATAATAATAACCTACCAACAAAATCATTCTAGGACCTAGGACCCCCCCAGTTCTTCAGAAACTCCCAATCTTGGGAAAACCCCTGGCTGTGAGGAGTTCGGCCCTGCGCTACAGCGCAGGGCGGACGAGTACCAGGCGCAGGAAGCACGCGAAGAGGTTGGACCCGTCGGTTTGGGTGGAGAACACCGGCAGATGGGTTGAACATGGTTGAAAAGTGATGTTTTTTTTTTTTTTTTCCGTTAGTTGATGTTCGAAATTCATGCATGGAACATCATCAACCATCAATAATATAGTATAACAAAAAGTATAACATCATCAACCATCATTGATGATTCGCTTGGTGCTTTGTTCTTTTTTGTTGGAGCATGCTGGTGACTGGGATGATGATCCCCCAGTCGTGACCAGATCATCTTTGGGATGGATTGAGCCAGATCATGCTTAGTGTTGTTATGCCGTGTTTTTTATTGAATATGTAACAGTAACTGTTAGTAGATAGATTATATAATCGATTAGATTAGATGGATGGATAGATAGGTAGACAGATAGATAGATAGACAGATAGATAGACAGATAGATAGATAGATAGATAGATAGCTGCATAGATAGCTGGATAGTTAGATAGCTAGATAGCAAGATAGCAAGAGAGATAGAAAGATAGAAACATTGAGATAGATAGGTAGATAGATAGATATGGAATGATACGGAATGATATGGATGATTAGCTTTGTGTAATTCGCTTATGAGAGCTGTTTTTCGGTTGGCAGGAACACCATGCCACGTCAAATCTAATAGGATTTAATCGGATCTCCAGCACCCACCACTAACCAGCACTTTGTATGTTACAAGAACCTTAACTGCGACCGCACCAAATTTGGCTATATCACATACATTGATTTTTCGGGAATCATCCAAAAATGAAAATGATGGCATGTTGTACGTTTGACTGGCAAGGAAAAGCACAACAAGAGGGCACACACATCAAATAGCCAAAACACTTCGCTGGTATCTCCCCAACTTAACAATATTAATATGGCTAATATTGGCTAATATTGGCTAATATTGGCTAATATTAATCTATATAGGGTGTTAATATCCGATTATCCATATTACCCTATTAATATCCATAATATGGTGGATGGTGGCTGTATTCCTCTCTCCAGGCAAGACAACGCACTGGCTCCGAGCGGATCCAGGTGGGGTTTTCTCGGCTTTTCGGTGGAGAAATGGCTCAAGGCTCAAAGGTGTTGAACTTTTGCTGAATCGTTGAAAAAAAAACATCGAAATATGGAAGGTCCTTTGTTTTTCTTTTTTTTTTTTTTAAACTATCGTAAGAGTTGGCATTTCCAAACTCGCCCTGAAGAGGCTCTCCCAGTGGTGGAACCACAAGTTCCGGAGACCAGCGAGCAGGCTGGGGATGGAGATCAGGAATGAAGACTCAATGGAAAATCATTTGTGGAATATTACGGTACTGTAGATTTAATCAGGATTAATCTATGAATTTTAGTTTGTTGACTAATCATTTTGGATTATTCCCATCCCCCTACATTTGAAGAATTGGGGGTTTCACCATCAGAAATGGTGGTACCACAATCCTGAAGGTGGAGATTGATATAGTCTAGTATTTTTCATGATATTGAAAGCATAGCTTCAATACGGCCCTTTCAAGGGATAGATCCCATACGGCCAACGACGGCTGAGCTTTGTGGATGGCATCTGTTCAGCACCCAGCATTTTGACCCGCGCAACCGTAACATTTTTGCAAAGAGGTATTTGCAGGTGGCAAAAAATAGAATCGATGACTGCCAACCAATTTGATGTTGTTGTTGTTGATGTTGATGATGTTGATGTTGATGATGATGTCCTTTCGGGTCCTTTTGGGTGTTGCTATATGTATTTATGTTCATAGATCTTGTGAAGAGTGCAGAGACAACTTATCAAAGGAAGTTTAGTTAGAAGACTTCCGAGTTACGGACGATGGTCATGAATAGCATTCACACCATCATGTCAACAACATCATCATGTTAACCCCAGCACCATGTCAACCACATCATCATGTCAACCACATCATCATGTCAACCACATCATCATGTCAACCACATCCAGATCATCATCATCATCACCATCATCATCATCATGATCATATAAAATAATTGTATATAATATAAAATAAATGTATATAATATAAAATAATTATATGTATAATATAATATAATATAATCTAATATAATATAATATAACATAATATAATATAATATAGTATAATATAATATAATATAATATAATATAATAATATATATATAATAAAATATTATATAATTGCACATATATATATAATATAATATAGTATAATATAATATAATATACTATAATATAATATAATATAATATAATTTTTTATAATACGTATATATATATATAATGTATACATACATAAATATATATATATATATACACATAATACACATTTATACAATTTAGCTATATAGATACACATGTGCATGCCTACAATACATCCATGAATGCATCTATGCACGTGGTGCCGTCGAGGCTGAGATGATGTTGCAGCCCAAAGACCTCCTGGCCTCTGAAAGGTAGCATGGCTCAATGGGGAAGGGAGGCCTTTCAGGTAAAAAGGGATTTGAGTTGAAGTTGAAGCCACAAAACATGTGGATTTAGGTGGCAAAATGGGGATTTTACCAGGAACAAATGTGATTTTACCAGGGCAATGAGATGATTTTGTCAGCAAACTGCAAATGATGATGTCTTAGTTCAATAAACATGATGATTCAAGCAGCACAAGTGATGATTTATGATTGAAGCAATGGAAATCTAGATTTGACAAAACAACATAGGGACCTGACAAAGCGGTGAGAACAACAAGAAACGGGGATTTGAACAGGGATTGGAACCAGCAACATAGCAACATGGGTTGGGTCATCTACAAACACAAGAAACCCATGGGAAACAAGCAAGATACACATGGACAATTATATGGAGGCTTCCTGAAAAATGGGGGTATCCCTAGTTACCACCATTCTCTTAAGATAGGATTTTCCATGATGGCATAGCCATAGAGATGGGAGGATGTAGAATGACCCTCAAATGGATGGTAAATGGGATAGTCTATATATAAAAATTGGGTTTACCATGGTTTACCATGATATACTCTGTTTGAAACAAAGGGAGTGGAAAATGACTTCATGGAACCTGAATCTTCCGTCGCAACACATGGAAACTGTTCACTTCACATCGCTTCACTATTTGTTTCAGATACCCTCCATCGAACAAAGATCTAAAACAGACTACAAACTCTTAACTCTAAAACAAATAGACGTAAGGGCTTTCTAGTCGGTTCTAGTAAATCAGGCCCTTCGAGAAGTGAACATACCATTCCTCCGGATTTATGTCTATGCCCAGGACAATGCTTGAATGGATGCATACAGTCTTTGCCTTGGCGATCATCGCCATAGGCCATCTCTCGTCGAGAACGGACAGCCATTCCATGATGATTTCTGGGTGACACATGGTGACACTATTTCTCAGCTTCGGTAACTAAATACGACAATTTGTCCAGAGATTTTGGTAACATACCACCTCAAAATCAGGCATTAGACCTGCTAGCTGCATAGGTCAAGGCTCCTCCAATTTCGGTACCCGAAACCGACGTTTCCTTCACCAGTTGCGGGGCTAAATAAAAACCGATCGCGACTTCGACATTTCGAGCAAGTGAATCATGACATGAGAAAATCAAAAACGATGGTTCATGTACTATCCACCTCACCTGTATGATCACATATGGCATATGGTCTTGCCTGTGTATGATTTGATTTCAACACAGGCGACCATTTTTTGGTTTTGAAGGAGGGAAGATACTTGTCTTGCTCTAGTTTTTTGGGCTTTGGAAAACATTGGTTTCCAGGGGTACACTCGGGATTACGCATATATGCATTCATACACGCATTCATGCCATACACCACTATAGTGTGCAGTTCATGTGTCTTACTTGCATGTATGTGTTGAGAAACTTACAATTATATCGCATGGTATCCGTATTTAATCCTGTATATATACATAGCGAAATATCACATTATATATTTGGATTCTTTATGTGTACCTACTGATAGAAATGAGTATTGAGTACTTGTAGATAGCATATTCAGTTCTGCATGTGCGAATGATATGGATGTATCTTACATACAAATGTATAACATACGGCTTGAGGTCTCTTATGATGATTAGGAGAGCGAAAGTGACCGAACTTTAGTTGTGCGAATCATGAAGATTCAGCCATAACTACATTTATACATACGTACATATACACACACACATATATATATATATATACACACTATACATAATATGTCACATATACGAACACAGATCACACATATTTGTTTCAATGCAGAACACTGCAGTCTATGTCTTATTTTTGATTTTCACATTATTTCCATTTTTTTTTAAAAAAAAATCCATCTGGCTGCACCGGAGGCCTCTGGAGATATAGCCTCACTGGAGAACTCCCTCGGGGCAAGGCATTGCCGCCGAGTCCTGGCTTTCGGTCCGGAAGATTTCACCACTGGGGGGGTAGCCTCTGGTAGCCTCTGGTAATTTAACAGTTTGCGAAGTGGAAAATCACCATGCTATGAATGGAAAAATCATGGAAAATCATGGAACATCCACTATTTCGACTGGGCAATTTTCAATAGCAAACTGTAAACGTTTACCAGAGGCAGTTTGCTATTGAAAATTGCCCATTGAGTTCGTTGATTTAGCCATTAAAAATGGTGATTTTCCATTGTTTTTTGTATGTTTACCAGAGGGTAAAACCGAAGCAGAATGATCAGAATGATGATATGATGGGAAATTTCATGGGATAATTATAGCTAGCCAAGAATCTACGGATGTTTGGAACCCCGAATGGTTTGGACATGTTCAGAGAATCATTTTACGATCTCATTGCAGAATTTCACGGTGGCTTCCTGCTACCAAATTTTTATGTGGCAACACTGAAGTTTTAAAAACATGTAATGGCGCTCATTTGCAGTCTTCCTTGTCATTCTCATCGTTGCAGTATGCTAACCCCAAAATAGAAAGAACAGTGGGAAGCCTGCAGTTAAATATCATCGAACTGCCATCCTGGTTTCACACACTTTTCGGCGTCGTTTTGGGGATTACTACAATGTCTAATTCGCTATTAAAAAAGCATCCCATAGCTATCCAACCAGTTATTCAGAAAACATATATGCAATTGGTTATCCCAATATATGGGGTTGGATCAATACCTATTAATACCATTTTTAGTGGGATGAACATCCATTTACCAGCTATTTTGATGTTCACCAGGGGTACAAGGTTTTGACCCATCCCCATATATTATCATTGCTGAATTATCCCTTATTATATCCCAATATGACAAGCAATGCCTGGCAATTCTTGGGCTGAGGAGTGATGGTCTCCGGCAGCAGTTCTTCAACAGCAGCAGCCCTTCCAGGATGCTGCGCCTTGGCAACCAGAGATCTGTGGCCTTTTTTTTGGCTTCAACTTCAACATAATTTATATGTAATGATATTCCATATTAAATGGAATGATATGTATATAGTGATAGATAATATAACGATAGATATGTTGAATATGTTGAAATTGTATTATTTAGCTTCTATGAGCATTTTTTGGTTTCTACATATATCTTTTTGATGTATGACTGTATGATATTCCATATAACTGGTCTTATATGGATATATACCAGCAGAACTAGATATTTTTTTGGTCAACAACTACTGATAGACATGATAGCTGGAGTTGATTGGTGGATTTACTTCAGAAAAGATATGCTAAGATCCACATGGGTATTGTTCTGTAGTTGCCCAGATTAAAAACCAAAACATGCGGAAAGGAACATGGTTTAATGATTTTTTTTCCGCGTGTCGTGTTGCAAAACGAAACGTGTCTTGACAAATTCGACGTTCAACGCATACCCCAAAAAGACCAACTGACCAACGATGCAATGAGGTTTATTAGCGGAGCACTACCGAGGGATTGGGACATGTTCCGTTGTGCAATGCTGTACCAGAAGCACTGCAACCGTGGATTCACTGTTTCCATCCACAATCCCCATGGCCAAGCACCATCGACGGTGACTCGAGTTTGAGGCTCGGGATCTACAGTTTGTTCTTGGTCTTGGTGGCAATTTGCTTCGGATGGTATGCAGCAGCTCAGCTCAAATTGTCTGTCGAGTGGCTTTCTGGACTGATTGTACTTGGTTAGAAGCAAGCGCATGAATTCATGTGGTAAACACAATAGTAAAACCATCCCATTAACCATCCATAACTGGGGGTCATTTTACATCATCCCAAATGGGGGTATACCATGGTATACCCAATAATCGACCTTTATTGGGGATGTTTTTCTTTTTTGTGTTCACCACATTGACTGAAATTGAATTCAGACGTCGCAAAGACTCGGCCAAGTGTTCGGATGAAGCATTTTCGCATCAGGTCGGCAGTGGAAAACCAAAGCCGTACCCTCTGGTAAATTAACATAACTATGGAAATTCACCATTCTTAATGGGAAAATCCACTATAAATGGCCATTTTCAATAGCTATGTTAGTTTCCCAGAGGGTAATCTGAACTGAACTCATACATCACGAATGTAAAATTCAGCTATGGTCGGTCTGACGAATCTTTTTCACTTCATGCAGCCATGTGCAGAACCTGGGGCTTCTAGTTACTTCAGGCGGCCAAAGTATTGACAGTGATTGAAACCTTCCCAATGTCATTGGATTGACCATGGAAACAACCATGCCACGAAAACGCTCAAAAAGGCACTTTTGGCGGGGTTGAGGTCATTACGCATTTGCAGCGCATCAAGGCGTTAATGAAGTGTCTTGGATGCATGAAACGAGGAACCAAACCTGATCCTCCGGTAATCAAACGTGGCTGGCTGGGAGATCCCCGAAGCCATGGAGGCTTATAATTAGCTGGGAAAATCATCGAACCAAACGAGAGATTTTCAAGCTATGTTACAATGTTTGATGGCACCAGAGGGTAGCGGTTTCGCCTCAAATTCTTGGGCTTTGAAGGCGATGACCAAGTTTCACCAACCATACATTGCTAAACACGAAAGTTGCTGGATTGAAGCAAAACTAGAGTAACTAGTGGGCTCATCAGCTCTCCCCGTCCTACCCCACCGTATCACAGTTCACATCATTTGTATCATATCGAAGTGACCTTTTCAGCACCATCAAACGTGTGCACTGGGCGCCTGTGGATGTCGCCGCTGCATGTTGCACGTCGTTGCACCCTGCGTGGCAGGAACGAACAGAAGGACCGAATCTTCAACCGCCGGACGGGGCCCACCATCTTCGCAGGTGCGATGGGTTGCAAGCGGTGTGGGACGAACTGACTGCAAAACATGTCGTTTAGCGATAATCATTGATAGATATTATATGATATTATATGATAATTGAATATAATTGAATTATATGATATTATATGAATCAATATAGATCATATCTTGTGCATTGTTTTCCAACCATCGTAATTTATATATAATTAATATATACTAGTACATGATAAATCATCCAAACTCAGTTTCCATTCCCAACCAACTCATGTCTTGTCTCTGTAGCTCTTTTTCGGGTTGGGCGTCTGGAGGCTGTATGGCACTGGCGCTCGCGGCCCACTTGGGTCTCCAGTTGGCCGGAGACCAAGGTGACAACTGGTTATTTAACATAGCCATGGTATAGATGGCCCATAGAAATAGATGATTTTCCCATTAAAAATGCTGGATCTTTCCATGGCTATGTTAGTCATAACCAGATGGTAGATGGGATAAATTATCCCATAAACCAAAATCCCATTGTAATTGGTGATAATTGGTGATATGATGGTGATATGATGGTGATATGATTGTGATATAGTTATGGTCACCAATTAATCTTGGATTTGCTGAAGGTGATTTTTTATTTTCCCATTGATTAATCCACCATCTGGGGAATCTACTGGGACTATTTTTTTAAATCATTACTGGAATACTCTACCATGTGGGGCGCCCCAGTGATGTTTGTTGGTTTTTACGCCCCGTACGTAGCTATAGTTATTTGCGTACCACCAACTTGGCTATATAACGAGGGCCTCACATTGTAGAGTATTCCAAGAATGTCAACCCCGGATTAATACGCCAAGGTTTATTAATTAGGGGGGTACTCCTCCAATAGTCATAATCTGATACTTAAATGGTACTCACCCAATTAAACAGCCGTTTGGGGTTTATCAATCCAGGGTTGACATTGTTTGGGGATCATGTTTGCTTATGGGACAATTATCCCAATTATAACTAATTGTAATGGACACAGTCATAGTTGGGAGAATAAGTGGAACATCCTATGATTGTTACCCTCTGTTCATTTGCAACAGTTTGCTGTGGAAGCCATGCCATGGCCCATGAAACAACACGATAAACATGACGATTTATATACCCTTTTTGAAAATGGTGCTGTTCCAGTTCGCTGCGTTTTTTTTACCAGAGGGTAACAATCATACACGGTGGTGCCCGATAGTTTGCCAAGCTGGTTTACAAATAACATAGGCATGGTTGATGCTAGATATATCTACACCGGTTGGGGATTTTAACATATTTTCGCAGTGTCAGGCAACACTCCAGGGTCACCTTGGAATGGGCATGGTGGTGATTTTGACCAACAACAGAAGTTGAACCAAAGGAGGCCCAGGTTTTGACCAAGAATGGTTGAGGTTTAACTAGGCAATATGGCACACTAGTGGAATTTCACACACACACACACTGATGGGATTTGGCCCAGATAAGAGGCTTGGCATCCACAGGTTACACCCCTGAAAGCTATGGACAATGGCCCATTTAGTTCGTTGATTTACCTGTTAAGATTCAAGATGGTGATTTCCCCGTAGCAAACTGTTGGTTTACCAGAGGCTATATATTTTTTGGGTTTGAATGGGCTAGGAAATGGACACCTTCGAGGTTTTTGCTCCCTTGCCTTCGAGGCATAGCTGCCAATCGCTTGAAAAAACTCACTGCAACCTGCTGCTTGAACTCTTCAGTTTGGATTCTCGGAGGATCCAGGGGTCGGGTTCTAACCCAGCCATGGGATGACACCAAATCAATCCAAATATTTCCGGGGACTTCGTTTTTCAGGATTTTAATTGTTTTGAGATCATTAAACAAACTGTGTTGACTGGGATGATCCTGTAAGTTGCGTGTTAAAGTCTCCGTATTGCAAGGCAATTCATGAGGTTTGTGTGAAACTGGGGCATACCGCCTTTTTATGGCCATTCAGTGGGAAACACGGGGATTCACAGGCAAATTTGTGCTTGTTGTTCCCATATGAAACTGGTGGCAATGGAATCATGCCCACCATTTTGGGGACTTTACATGAAAGCTGTCCTAGAGCCAATATAGGGGGTTTTCTAAAATGGGGATACCTCCCAAATCATCCAAGTCATTAGACCATTTTAGCATTGAAACCTATGGTTTTGGGGATCTGCCCCACACATACCCGCCGACCCCGGCCGGCAGCAAGGGGGATGGCGCCAGGGAATAAGATGTGGCCCCTTCTAACAACAACAATGATCATAACAACAACGACAACAATGACAACAACGACAACAACCAGCAGCCAGCAGCCAGCAGCGCAGAAGCACCAGAAGCAGCAGAAGCAGCACAAGCAGCACAAGCAGCTTGCCAGCAGCCAGCAGCCAGGAGCACAAGCAGCGCAAGCAGCACCAGCAGCACCAGCGGCACCAATAGCAGGTCTAGCAGCTGAACTCGTATTGTTTTTATTAGGATCCAGAAGGGATAGCAGGAACAGCAATTCAGCAGTAGGAACAGCAGGTCTAGCTTCTGAGCTCAGTTTTTGGAGGTCGTTCCATCCTTCCGCGGCATGGTGTTTTGGTGTTTCGGAGGCGGGACAGGAGGAACAGCATGTACAACAGCAGGAACAGCAATCCAGCAGTAGGAATAGCAGGTCTAGCAGCTGAACTCGTCTTGTTTTTAATAGCATCCAGAAGGGACGTCAAGCCTCGGGGCAGCGTGTTTTTGGAGGTCGTTCCGTCCTTCAGTGGCATGGTGTTCTAGTGTTTCGGAGGCGTGTCAGGTACAGTAAGAGGAACAGCAATCCAGCAGTAGGAACAGCAGGCCCAGCAGCTGAACTCGCATTGTCGTTTGTAGAATCCAGAAGGGACGTCAAGCCCCGGGGCAGCGTGTTTTTGGAGGTCGTTCAGTCCTTCAGTGGCATGGTGTCTGGTGTTGCGGAGGGAGGTCAATCAGCAACAGCAGGAACGAAAACATGTCAATTCAATCCATCTAATTTTTTTAGGGGTCACTCGTGGCCGAGGGAGGAGCAGCAACAGCAACAGCAGCAGCAGCAACAGCAACAGCAACAGCAGTAGCGGCACCAGCAGCGGCACCAGCAGCAGGAGCAGCAGCAGCAGCCGTGCCGGGGCGACACCTCCACAACAACTTCTGTCTCCACATGTTGCCACGGCGGATTTTTTTCAGGGGTCGGGGGCAGGGGCGGCAGCCCTTCAATATATATATATATACAGTATATATAATATAAGTATACATACACACAATGCTGTAGAATGTGGTATGGACACCTTTTCATCAACAAATTTGAGTGGCTAGAAAGCTGCATTGCGCAAGGTTTGCGCAAGGCTCGCCCAAGGTTTGGCGCAAGGGTGATTTGAACCCCTGTCCTATCTTGATGGCAGACATCGGGAGCAGTAATGGTTAATCCTGGGGGAAGGACGAATTCACGCTCTTAAATCAATTCAAAAGGGAAAACAAATTTGTTTTTTTGTAAAATCTGCAGATCCTACGAACGAAGCGAAACAAACATCTTGAGGAAATTTGATGAACCTTTGGATAGATTTGATGTTTTTGAGACCCACTGTCCCACTCACTTAGGCTTGGACTCACTGAAATGGGCCGTTGAGCTCAGCATCAAAGCTTTGCGCAAAGGGAGCAGGGCGACAAAAAAACATGGGGTCGCGGAGCCTGCAGGGGTTTGGCCAGCTTTGTCTGGGATGATAGGAACATCTTTCTACACAATTGGTTCCCCCAAAAGCAGACCTGGTGAACTGCCCATCCGATCACAACGATAGACTGACAGGACGCTCCGCTTTGGAGGGTCAAACCCCAGGGTGAACCAGATGACGGTTACAGTTTCTTTTCCTTTGTAATGTGGTGACCCCAATCATAAACCTCTCATTTGGATCCACTTGGGTGATGATTTTTACACATTTTCACCACATTGATGGCTTATTGTTGGGTTCACCATGGTTAGCTTCCGCGCCCGCCAGGAACTCACAAAGGCACAAGATGCCTACGTGGGTCAGCAGCAGAAGCGTGCAGAAGCGCATGGTGCGGCAGCCAAGGATGGCCCTGGTCATCCCTGGACTGTTCGGAAAAAAGGTGGGTCCCCCATGGGTCAACAAAAAAAAAGTGATTTAACCGACAAAGCTGGGAATTTAATTTGGATTTTGATTTAACTTCATATCTGGCTTATATGGGGATGGATCAAAACCTATGACATACATTGACATACCATATTTGGGGGATGAACATCCGTTTACCAACTATTTTTGTGTTCACCCAGGCACCTAGGTTTTGATATATACTGTATACCCATATAATGCTAGCTAAGTTCGTTTATAATTCCAATCACCATGGTTTATTATATAATCTTATATATCTTTAGTCAATGTGGTTGACGAACCAACTTATAGCTGGCAGGGTGGCAAAATCACCTTGTTGGAGGGCTCGCACTGATGCGGTCAAGCCAACAACCAGTTGGGAGGTGATTCAAGACAGTTACCCTCTGGTAAACCAAAATAGCTATTGGAAATCACCATTTTTAATGGGAAAATCCACTATAAATGGGCCATTTTCCATGGCTATGTTAAATAACCAGAGGGTATTCAGCTTGAAAGATTGGGGTCTATTATAGTGACTATAGTGGCAACTAGCCACATTTCACACGAATCTCTGGAATCTTTGCAGCGCCTCCATAACAGGTATAACAGTAGCTGGAAGGACTTCAGGGCATTCTTCTGTGTCAATTTGCCTTGGTCATATGCGGTGATGAGAACATTGCAGCAGCCCAGGACATCTGAAAAAATGAAGACAACACCTTGCTGCATCTGAGCATGTTTCACTTGGAGATTGCTGTGCTGCTTGAGTAGGAAAGGCTGTTGGTCGAACTGGTCCTTGAAGCGAGCTTGCGACTGTTATGTATTCTGCTCCTGAACTGACGATGATGTTGATTGTGATGGTGGTGATGATAGTGATGATCATCATACATGTGTGATCACCATAGCTTTGGGAATTGGTAGCTGATTATGCAAGGACGAGAACATTGCAGCAGCCCAGGACATCTGAAAAAAAATGAAGACAACACCTTGCTGCATCTGAGCATGTTTCACATGGAACTTGTGCTGGGACTCGGTGAGTTTCTCGGTGTAGCGTTTCGGTGCCGGAACTTCTGCTTGCCGAGTCATGCAATGATGAGATTCCTGCAGCAGCCCAGGACATCTGAAAAACATGTGAAGAGAGCTTTATGCTGCTGCTGAGCATGACTACATTTTCTTCTGTGACTTTGCATGTGATTTCTTAAAAGATCCATTTTGAGTTGAGGCTCACCATGGCTCACCAGAATTGACCAAGGAGACCTGTGTTGACCGCTCTTCAATCTTCAAGTTCTTGGCCTGCTGCAATTTTGGTCATAGTTGTTAGATACGTTGATAACCGTTGATGTTTGTTGATGGTATAGGATATTGATGGTCGGATTTTCCAAGAAATAGCTGATGATTCCATTTTTCTGAATGATTTGGCACAGATAAAAATCAAAATTGGAACATCTTGGAACAGTTGGATCCTCCGGATGTACAAGTTGGATCAAGCTGCTAGTCCATGATCCGTAAACAAGTCCTAATAAGTTGATATGATAGAACATGTTGACCAGAATTGGATTTACGTTCATTTCTGGATCTTGTCCTCTGGAGTTCCTGTATAATATAATATTATATCACATCCATTCACATCCAGGTAAATAAACATACTAATTATAGATGATTATAGAATATTATAGATGTATGTATATATATATGTATATATATATAGGTCTGTATATATATAATATGTGTATATACTGTATATATATATATGTAATTACTGGGAAAAACGATATAACATGACAGTCCCAATTCTGTATCACGTATTGGAATCATCCTTGTACTTTGGATCCACCAGAACCCCCAAGGCGCTCCAGCTGATGGTGCTGCCAGCGTCACGCCAGGCGGGTCTTTCCAGTCTTTCCACATGGGTCTATCTGCAAACGGGCCACAAAATGGCCACAAAATCAATGGGAATTCCAGGATCCTAAAATGGAGGTACTGTACCATATAAGGCCATATTTTGTGGGGATATTCCCTTACATAGGCCTTACATAGGCCTTATAAAATGTAGGTACCTCCAATCTAGGATCATGAAATGGCCATTGACAAAATGGCCATTTATTTTCGGGCAAGATGATGATATAGCAACGGATTTAGGGGCATACATTTGTTTCAGGCATGCCGACAAATAGATAGCGGATAAAAACATCATGTTCTATCCTTGCCACGATTCGTGGGATGATCCTGCAAGGGTACATCCAGCAGATTTACATAGATTTACATTGGTTGGAACCCACATGGTGGCCATAGAGAAGTGTGGAAAACCCATCTTCCAAAGCACCTTTTTTTTCGGGTGTCAGGCTGATTTTAGGGAGTGTCATGGCAATCAATGGGTACAATACCTGAGAATCCGGAAGGAAGTTGGATTTGAAGCAAAAAAAACTTGTGCCGGGTTGATCCGGGTTGGGCAATGTCTGGTGAATGCACCCAAAAATATAGGTTTCACATGGTTTCCCAATGGTTTCACAGCAAACATGATCTTATGAGATGTTATGAGCAAGAAAAGATGAGAGTTTTTTCAGTGATTTTTTGGTTGGTCTTTATGACATAAAACATCATAAAACATCTGTAAATTGGACAGTGCTCACCAAAAGCTCACTTCTTCAAAGATGTTCTTCGCCAGTTTCTGGGATCATCCCTTTACTGAAGAAACCACATGGATTTTCTGCTGCAGGGGATTCTGCTCCAGGTGCGGGGATGGGGGGTAGATGGTCAGCCATGTGATGACTTGTGCACACAGACATACATATATACATATCATTGTCATGTACAAATATACATATATATATATTGTGTACTGTATATATATATACATATATATATATACATATGTATATATATATATATGTATGCATATATGTATATATATATGTATGTATATACATATATATATATATGTATACACATATATAATATGTATAAATTGCTACTATGGTGACTCTTGTGTCTGCCCTTTACTCTGGCGCCTGACCTTTCCTTTTGTGCAAGCTTCTACAAGACATACATTTGGGTATTATAACGACCCCACGCTTCTCCCTCACTGGAATGATGGTTAGTAAGGGGAGCTATCCCAAAGAAAAGCCTTATTTCAGGTTAGATGATCCTCAAATCCCCGAAAACGTGTCCATCCAAAATCTACAGGCTGCTGTGCCCCGGTGAAATGTTTGTTGGTTCATAAACTCCACCAACCAACTGTAGGCAGTTCGATATAAACAAACAAAATATAAACTCAACAGTTATGTCAGTTACAAACCAACTTCGTTAACATTACGCACAGACCCCGTGGTTTGCCCAAGAACAGAATAGCGTAAAGACCAATGAATTTCTAACAACCTCAAACAAAACCGATGAACTTGTGTTGACAAAGTAAGTATTGCATTGCCGCTTGGCAAGAGAACCGTACCATACCGTACCGCTATTAGGGTTTCTTTCAGAATTTACCGTAGATATAGAATCTCCCACCCGCATGCAACAATTACTTAACCATACCGGAATTAGTTTTTTTTGGGTTTTCAGAAGATATAAAATCTCCCGCCCCCATGCAACAAGTAACCATACGGGCAAACACCTCGATTTGCCCGCGCTTGTCGGCGGCCATCTTCGTATGTGCTGAAAACGTGGTAAAAATGAGAGTTTTTTGCATCATGGCTAACTTCATGTTGTATATCGGCACGCACAGCTTAGGGACCTGTGCGAGTCTCTTACACATCATCATCATCATCATCATCAAACCCTTATTGAAGATCTTCAATGAATGTAGAAGTTTAACGGGGAGAAGTAAACCCTTATTGAAGATCTTCAATGAATGTAGAAGTTTAACGGGGGTGGGAGAATTAAACCCTTATTGAAGATCTTCAATCAATGAATGTAGAAGTTTAACGGGGGTGGGAGAAGTAAACCCTTATTGAAGATCTTCATTGAATGTAGAAGTTTAACGGGGGTGGGAGAATTAGACCCTTATTGAAGATCTTCAATGAATGTAGAAGTTTATTGGGGGTGGGAGAATTAAACCCTTATTGAAGATCTTCATCGAATGTAGAAGTTTCACGAAGGTGGGAGAATTAAACCCTTTTTGAAGATCTTCAATGAATGTAGAAGTTCAACGGGGGTGGGAGAATTAAACCCTTATTGAAGATCTTCAATGAATGTAAAGTTGGACGGGGGTGGGAAATTCATATTCCCAAAATACACTTGTTGATCTTCCCAATTGAATGTAAAGTGTAACATTTGTTATCCCCAAGTGTGCAGCATGAAATGGGTGTGGGCGAATCGGGGTGTTTGCGCGTAACCATACCATCTTCATCTTCATCTTCATCCTCATCCTCATCTTCATCTTTGTCTTCCTCTTCGTCGTCATCATCATCATCATAATCATCATCATCATCATCATCATCATCATGATTATGGCTTGCCCGAACGCTCGTTGGAAGTCCGGGCAAACCATTCCTCGAAGGCACCGCCAGTGCGGAGCCAGCGGTAACGGAAGGTGGGGCGGTTCGAACCGTCCAGGGTGCAACTGT